AACTCTAAACCCTATACCCCAAACCCTAAACCCTAAACCCCAAACCCGAAACCCTCTACCCTAAACCAACCCTAAACTCGGGCGCCCGCGGCTGTGGCTGGTTCGGTATGAGCTGGTGCTGCTTCACCTGGCGCAGGGTCCGGGTCCCAGGGGGGTTTGTTCCTTAGGGCTCCCCAAGCTTCCCTTCAGCCTTGTTCAGGTACCTTCCCCAGCCTCTTCGAGCCCATGACCCCGCAACCTTAAACCCTTCACCCTAAACTCTAAACCCCTAAACCCCTAAACCCTAAACCCAAAACCCCAAAACCCCAAAATCGCACAAAGCGCCAAACCCCGAAGGACTTCAAGGGGCTCTGTGCTTCTGTAAACGCGGCCTGGACTCGATCCCAATCCTTTGGTGGTTCGAAGCAGGGGCTTAGGGCTCAGGCGCTTTGGGGATTTGGGACTTACCACAAATCCTGAGCCCTGAAGCCCCCAAACCTAAGCCCCGAAACGGGTGGATTTCTGTTTCGCAAACTTTTTTCTTGGGTGATTTTTTGGAGGGTTGGGGGTTGTGAGAGACCGTATACCTGGTCAGACTGATGGGACTGCACCCGTCTGCCCAAAGGGGATGCACCCCGGCAAGGGGTCTTAAGGGCTGCTGATGGACCACACGCACTGCAGCTTCTGGCACAGAAGACACGCATTCTAGCAGCGGCAGCGCTGGGTAAAATTGGCGCTCATAACCTGTGAGAGACCTCATACCTGGTCATTCTGCCCACCCCGCTCCAGGAGGCTGATAGGACGACCAGTTCGCCCAAAGGTCTGTAGTTTTTCTCTTTCTTAAGGATGAAAACCTCGATTTCTCCATGTTTTTACTAAGAGTATTTCACTAGGTTTTCGCTAGGACAAAGTCTATTGCCTCGCTATGTTAATAGCACTCGTACTATTTTGCTTGGGTTCGCATTAACTTAGATTCTCCCCTGGGTTTTCCTCAGGAAAAACCCCATTGCCTGTGTATGTGTATAGGTTTTCCCCCGGAAAAACTCTATTGCCCCTGTATATTAATAAGATTCCTACTCATTTTCATGTGGGCTTTACATGTTTCCTAGGTTTTTCCCGCGTAAAACGGGACTTGAAAGCATTCCGATGTGTTTAATGCAAGCTGGCTTCTGGGCATGCAGTTGAAAGCAGCGAAGGGGCTGGGATAGGGGTGAGGAGGGGCACCCCCCCCCCCCCCCCCCCCCCCCCGCCTCCTCCCAGTTGCAAACACCATGCTTGCAGAACAGGTTTGGAATGGTAGCAATGATTTTTGCCTTTCTTTCTGTACATTGTTATTTCTTTGTTATTTCGTTCGTCTCTGTTTCGGTTCTTGCTTTCCTTCGCTATTTCTTTCTTTATTTCGTTATTTGCTTCTTTGTTTCTTGCTTTTTTTCGGCGCAGCCCCCCCCCCCCCCCCTAAGTTGCAAACACAATGCTCGCAGGTCTTCCAACGAACAAGCAATTCGCGACAAAATACACCCTCCACCCTAAACCCCTAAACCCGAAGCCCCACACCCCTAAACAAACCCCGAACCCCTAAACCCCTAAACCCTAAACCGCCTGAAGCCCCGAAAGAATCAACTTGGCTCTGGAGAGCAGACTTGAAACTGGAGGGTTTAGGGTTTCGGGCTTAGGGAAGTTGAGGGTTTAGGGTTGAGGGTTTGGGGAAGTGTTTGGGGTTTAAGGTTTAAGGCTCAGGGCTTAGGGTTTAGGGTTTAGGGTTTAGGGTTTAGGGTTTACGGTTTACGGTTTAGGGTTAGGGCTTCGGGAAGTTTAGGGTTTAGGGATGTCTAGGGTTTGGGGCCTCGGGCTGATCCCTACACACCGAACCGCAGACCATAAGAAAGGTTCGGCACCTCGATGTTGCTCACGACGAACTGGTATGGAACACCTGCGCCACAAGAGCTTCTGAAGCAACCAAAAAAAGCGGCAAAACCCCTGACCTCTCAACCTAACCCCTATACCCCTACAGTACCCTTAACCCTTCAACAACATGTTATACCCTTGGAGTACCCTTAACCCTTCAACAACATGTGAGCTCTAGTTCCAGAAGACCGCCAAGAAAGTCCAACAGACTGTAAACAAACGCAGCCCAGAAACCCGAGCCCCACATGCCTAGGCTACGGCTAAACCCTCAACCCTAAACCCTAAACCCTAAACCTCTCTATCATATGATAAGTTTAAACTTTAATGAATTCGTGGTTCATGGCCAGTTTTCGTGGTTCGTGGCCAATTTTTCGTGGTTCGTGACCACTTTTTGGTAGTTCATGACCAATCGACATTTTTTCGTGGCTCATGGCCAGTTTTCGTGGTTCATGGCCATTTGTTCGTGGTTCATGGCCAGCTTTCGTGGTTCATGGCCAAAATCGTTCGTGGTTCATGGCCCAATTTGTCGCGGCTCATGGCCAATTTTTCGTGGCTCATGGCCAATTATTCGTGGTTCATGGCCAATTGCTCGTGAGTTTTTAGTGGTTCATGGCCAACTTTTCGTGATTCATGGCCAGTTGCCGTCAAGGCCTGGGGTTTAGGGTTTCACGGCTCAAGGCCTGGGGTTTAGGGTTGGGGAGGGTGGGGTTTAGGGTTTCAGGGCCTCAAGGCCAGGGTTTCAGTTCAAGGCCTGGAGTTTAGGGTCCTTTCAACCAAATTCAAGGCAATGAGGTAAACAAAATTAGTTTGATTTTTTTGTGTCCGTTCGTTTCAAGGCTAGCGTAGCGCCCAAGAGATGCAATAATGGCAAGAAATGAGGTTAAGAAAATGAGCTGTTTTTAGGGATAGGCCTTTGAAACTGAGATGATCGGAGAATACTTGTTGTTTTCGGAATGTTGTGGTTCTTTCGGTGGGTGGGTGTTATATCAGAGCCGTACATATAACTTTACCATGACACTGCTCGATCCGGAGCTGCTGAACCCTAAACCCTAAACCCCAAACCCTAAACCCTAAACCCTACACCCTAAACCCTAAACCCTAAACCCTTACGGTTCAGGGCTTCGGGTCTGGGATCGTAAGGCCGCCTGACCCTTACAGACCCTAAACCCTGAACCCTAAATCCCAAACCCTTAACCCTCGGTTTAGGGTTTAGGGTTTAGGGTTTAGTGTTTAGGGTTTCGGGTTTCGGGTTTCGGGTTTCAGGTTTAGGGTTTAGGCTTTAGGGTTTGGGGTTTGGGGTTTAGGGTTTAGGGCTAAACTTCTAAACCCCCAAACCCCTTGCTTGCGCCGCTAGACACCTGAGCAGTCGCACAGCGACGTGGGCGTCTCGCACCCTTGACAGGCGAAGCGGACCTGGCCCGTGTTCAGCGTTTAGGTCTGTTGGGGGGGTGGGTTTGGGCGTTAGACTGAAGCTGAAAGCCCCATACTCCCCCTCCACCCTTTCGCAGCTCTCTCCGTCTCTATGCCTTTAAGGAACCAGGGTTTAGGGCGAGGGTGAGGGAGGGGGTGTCAAAGGCCAGAGTCCCCAATAAGGCGGATTTGCTAGAACCTGCTTTGGAGGCCCGCCCCCCTTTAGATCCCGTTCCTTCGGACGCACCCCCTCCCGTGACCGCCTGGCTCCGGATGGTGGGGGGGATGCCTGCGTAGCTGAAGAAGACCTCAGGGTGCGCGGCAGCAGCTTCTTGGGGTTTAGGGCTTAGGCTTTAGGGTTCGAGAGAGGCGCAAGTAAAAAAAAAAAAAAAAAGTATAAGTGAAATAGCTGGAGATGATGGTGGCTAGTTGCGACCTTGTTGGGGCACGTATAAACCCTTCTGAAAGCTACCCAGGAACCTAAAGGTCGGGCTGTAGGAATAGGTGAAGGTGTTTTGGCTTTCGGTTTAGGGTGCAAGGTTTAGCTGGAGTAGCCCGTATGACCATATGTATGACACAGGAAAATTTCTTAGCTTTTGGGCAGAACTACCAAGTTGCCCCTAAACCCTAATCTAATCCCTAAATCCTAACCCCTAAACCCTTTTGGCGTTCGAGATGTTTAAAGAAATTCGGAGTGCGGGTAGGGCTGGGGACCTCCAACCCTCCGCCAAGTTGCATCCTTGGTCTTGTAAGAGGTCTCCTTGTCGCAATGCTTTTTTGGGGTTTAGGGTCTAGGGTCTTTAGGGTTCAGGGTTTGGGGTTTAGGGTAGGATGTAGGGTGCAGGGTTTAGGGCTTCGGATTTAGGGCTTTAGGGTTTGGTTTAGGGTTTTGGGGGTGTGGTGGTTGTGCTTGTCCCCTTCAAGCCCACGAAACCCTAGCCCGTCCCACATCTCAAAATCCTCAGCCGCAGCGTCGAAACTTGAACCCCCCTCATAACCTTGCTAGCGATCCCCCTTCCCTCCCCGCCCCCCCCACCCCCACCTGAGACAACATCAAAGCCAGTAGATCAACCCACAAGTACCCTCTCAGTGAACTATATCCGAAGAGAGCCCTGAACGCAAAACCGAGGTCGGGCTGCATCATGAGCTCCTTCATCGGCGTGCCCGCAGCGTGCGTGAGGGGTGTAGAGTTGGGGATCAGGGGCTGTTGTAGGCCCCGGAGGCACTGATGGGGTTGGGTAGAGAACTGACCACTGGGATTTTGGGGTTTGTAGGGTGCAGGGTTTTGAACACCTAAAGCCTAAACCCTAAATCCTGAGCCCTAAACACCAACCCCTAAACTCTAAACCCACCCCACCGCAAGGTTTCGAAAGCCCTAAAAGGCCTACATCACTCCCCCCCCCCCAAAAAATAAATAATAATAAAATGAAAACCATAACCCTAAACCCTAAACCTTAAACCCAAAACCAGAGAGATAGATACCTCTCAATGGAATCTGCAGACAGCTCTGCGAGCTGTCCTGCGTACTGGCAGATGCAGCGGCTCCCACAGATTTCGAGCACACGTCTGTATTGGGGACGAATATAGGGGCATTAATCTGAATAGGGTTTTGAGGGTTATTATAGTATAAATATGAAGGGACCATAACGGAATACTATTCGCAATTATTCCGACCCCTATACTACGACGTCATGACCCCAAACTTCTCAGCATGGGGGGGCGACATCAGCTTCGCTGTCTTTGTCCTGCGTGTGCAGTTCATGCACGTCAGGGGAAGGGGCTGCGCAGCCCGAAGTTTTCGGCCGAACTCTGTACCGGGGATGCGAGCCGAGAAAGTAGAAAAGAAGACCCGCAAGGGGCAAAAATGTTGCGGCCAATGCCGCCATGGCTTCGATTTTGTGGATGCCTCCGAGGCTGCGATGTATTCTCAAATACTCGTTGTCTATACGAACCCCCGCCAGCCACATGGCCAGAATGCACACGAGGACGAGAACGTTCAGCAAGAAGTCACACCTCCGCCTTTTTCTGAGAAAGTAGGCGACCCGCAGACTAATCAAGAGGATCGTGGGGGCTATACCGAGCCACCAAGCTACGCCTCTTAGCAGCTCCCGGCCGATGGCATGGTGGTACCTTCCCACATAGTGCCACTCAGCTGAAGCCGCGTCGATGAAAGCGAAAAACATGGGAACCATAGCGGTTATCAGCTGCCAGTAGCTTAGGAACTCGTTGCACAGCTGTTGCATGAGGCAATCCAAGACGTCACGGCGGACCACCGCGGTAAAATTGTCCTCACTTCCAAACCATGCACAGATGCACTTGAGAACCACTTGGCGATCGCAGACCATTGGTGTCCCTCGAGATGACACATGATTCATTTGGCAGCAGTGGCACGTCGTGTCCTGCGCAACAAGACATTCTTGTCAGGCCTTGTAGTCTAGTGCGAGGATGCAGAAAAAAAACATGACTTTCTGTGATTTCTTTCTGTCCTGCAAGCTGAGGTGCGCGAGACTGCTCTGCAGTGTGTCAATGGACCGGAAGTACTCCCGGAAGGATGCCACGATTGGGTAGAAACCGACTCCGAGAATGCACCCCTGCACCAGCACCACGTCATAGGTCCCATGCACATCTGGCAAAGCACCAAAACTGTTCACAAGCACGGCGAGAGCGAGCGAAAGCAGAAGGTAGCAGGGTCCCAAAATCGTCGGCCGAATGATGAGCTTCGGATTGCTCTGGCTGCGCAGAAAGGCGGCCAGCTCGAAAATGCACCACCTGACTAGTAGTAGTAGTAGTAGTAGTAGTAGTAGTAGTAGTAGTAGTAGTAGTAGTAGTAGTAGTAGTAGTAGTAGTAGTAGTAGTAGTAGTAGTGGTTTGAAAGTGCAGTAGAGGTACGCGGCCGCAACCAATCTCTTTCGTCTGATCGGCTATCTTTTCGGGCTCTGTGCGACAAAACCTGCTATAGTATGACATGCCTTCCCTTCCTACCAAATCAAACACTTGCAGCGCTGAGCACAGCTCCTCGCGTCCCCACTACTTGTTTTTCACGCGGCTCGCAGCGTATAATCCGAGTCCTTCGAGGGTCCTGCATCGGCATCTAGGCCTAGGACAAACGCTTATCTCGTGCCCAGCCGCAAGCGGGAGGTGTAGCTGGGATCCCAGAGTACCAGCAGCGAATCGGAGCGCTTCAAGAAAGCGCCCATGTTAAAGATGCCCAGGGCCTTGCGCCTCTGATCGTTCTGGTCGATGCAAAGCACGTCTAAGAAGATGCGCTGGCTGGGCTGCCAGAAAATCATGGCCAGCCAGTAGATAAAGAAGCCGCCAATAGAGACCCAAAAGCCTTCCCAGGGCAGAAGGTAAGACCTACGACATAAGAACGGCTTGTTGGCATTCAAGGACCTTGCTTCGTCTCACTCGCTGCAACACTATTTTCCCCACCGGCCTCGCGAACTTGAATAGTTCGCCCACGGATTCTCCATTCCAGGCAGCACCCCTCGCGGAAAGCACTTCAAGCACAATCATTGCTTAGTACTTCCCTTTACAGATCGACAGCTGCTTTGTCATTGTTCAGGTGCACAGATCCGAGAAGTGTACCAAGTTTGCGCAAGAGCAGGCGTGCTGACACAAATCGAGAAGTGTACCAATGGGGCCATATATGGCTCAAGACTGAGCACAACAGCGATATTTTTTTTGTGATTTGGGCTTTGGGGGATGAGATGCTTTGATTTGGATTGGTTGGGGCTTGTGAGCCTGGAGATCCTCCGGAAGAGAGCGTACCCTCAATGCACAACCCATTAGATGACCTTCCTCACAAGTCCAGCTCCAACTCATTACGCCTTGGTTAATTACCAATAGTCCTAGCACTGGGCCCCCTATCCCACATCACCTTCAACAATCATGCTTCTACATTGAATCATGTTGGGGAGGCTCCAGATCTTCAGGGAGCCCCTACATATTTCCGACGTCCGTTTCACAGCCTGCGCCGAAGAAAATGGCCACCAACGTCACTCCCAGAAGGGAGGTGATGGCCGCTGCACGCGAGTTGTACAGGAAGAAGAGGGTCATGATCTTCTGCCACCTCACGCCAGTCATCGGACACCGCACATCCCTAGCCCCCAGGAGAACATGACGTTTTGGAAAGGCTCGTGTAGTGAGCCTGATTCCCCTACATACATGCTCTGCTCGATATATGCAGCGGACCTCAAATCGTGAAGTTGGTCCTCTGGCTGCTTTGAGACATGCAACCAAAAACATAGGAGCAATCAGGGGGTGCATTGCTGAGCAAACCGAAGCCAAGCGAATGCCTGTTCTAGCTACAGTTGTTTTTTTCATCTGCTTTCATCCTTTGCTTCCGAAGGACTACAAGGGCTCGTCTAGATGGTGCGACAAAGCGTTGCCTTCAATCCGGGAACTCTGTAACTCGCTCAACTCCCTACAACCCCCAAGACACACTTCCGACAGCCACATGTGGCGCTGCAGCCCAATGAATCCCGCTGACGGATCTTCGATTTCCATTAAAGCCAACGTTTCAAAGCACCACGGAACTCTCTGCGCGCAGCTTGACAGCGGGGACTCGCGAATGAGCAACGCCTGGACAGTTGACTCGCAACTCTCCCTTCGTTCTGAGATTCTGGCCGGCTTCCATGCCAGCTATGGCTCCAGAATGCTCCAACTCTCCTGCCTGGCCGGGGGGGGGGGGGGATGTAAACCTTTCAAAGACCAACAAAATCGGAAAGAATCGGTTAAATCGTGGACCATATGTCTCTACTGCAAACAGTTCTTCATGCTAACCTGAGGCCAGGCACTGGGGTAGCTGCACCGGTGAAGATCCTGCCCGTGTCCACCGCGCAAAGCCTGCGCAAAGCCTGGTAGCGTGTGAAGGCTTCTGCAAATCTCCAGTCGACGCTGAATCGTGGCACCAATAATCTTAACAGTAGGAATACCCCTGTTCCTAGCCATCCAAACCCCTGAAAAGAGCGTCTCTCGAAGCACTCGATGACATGTCGCATCAAGTCATGAACCCACCAATCTCAAGTCATGTGCCCATGATCCCAAACTCCAGATAAGACATGCTTCTTGCATTCGGAGCACCCGGAGCTTTGCAAGATACAAAAAACAATGATACGTACGGACAGTTACTCCCAAGACGACACTGCGAGCCTGAACCCTAAATCCCCTTGTTCCCTACCAATCGGCATAACTACCCGGCGCGAGGCCCCTCGTTTAGGGTTTAGGGTTTAGGGTTTAGGGTTTAGGATTTAGGGTTTAGGGTTGTTTTGATCCGTGTGACAGCGGAAGGCCATGTGCGCGGGCGCGGCGCGGATGATATCTGCGTGGCTTGGCTCCATGCCGATAAGGTGGCGCGCCAGTTCGTCCTGGAACATATTCGTGAAACTGCTTGCGGTTTAGGGTTTAGGGCTCAGGGTTTAGGGTTTAGGTTTTAGGGTTTAGGGGTTAGGGTTTAGAGTGGACTTTGGGGGTATGGGGTCGGGTTGGGATGGTGGATCAAGCCTGTCGGCATTGCTCTCTGGCCGAGGCTGTCATTCGTATAGTTCACACTGGCGTAGCATGAGTCCCTAAACCCTAAACCCTAAACCCTAAGCCCTAAACCCTAAGCCCTAAACCCTAAACCCTAAGCTGCAAAGGGCGGGCTCTGACGCAGGCTTTCCCAACCGCAAACCAGAACAGCATGCCACAGTTGCATGAAATCAAGCCAAACAACGTCTTGAACCACACGTGTACATTGTCCAACACTATCATGCCCTGACGGACCTGGCAGCAACAGCAGTCCTGCAATTTGTCAATGTCCCGAGGCACAGGCACCTCATTCGCATCGTCGCTGTCCGCCATGGCTCTGCAACTACTTGGAAAAGGTTCTCGGCTTGGAGCCTCTGACGTGGCCCGGCAAAAAATGTGTCTTGGAAATCGGATCGCAAGAAATTGTAACCCTAAACCCTAAACCCCAAAAAGGCGCAGGGAGCCCGAGTTGAAATTCTACGCCGACATCCCGATGGCAATGGATCCGCCCCGTGTGTGTGGAAGACTTTCCCTGTGCTTCTCCTTCTCCCTCTGCCCCTCTGTGCTCTGCTTCCTCGTATACATTTTTGGGTTTAGGGTTTAGGGTTTAGGGTTTAGGGTTTAGGGTTTAGGGTTTAGGGTTTAGGGTTTAGGGTTTAGGGTTTAGGGTTTAGGGTTTAGGGTTTAGGGTTTAGGGTTTAGTTTAGGGTTTAGGGTTTGAAAACCGCCCCCAAGATTTACAGCGCACCGACCAGGTGGGGCCGAGCGGCGTAGTCCGGGTAGTAGTCCGCGGGCCCTCGCCAGATGCCCGGCTTCACCGCGTCGGCCTCTCTTGGAGATGCGGAGCCCGGAAAAAACACTAAGAAGCCACCCAGTATCCCCTAGCAAGCCCTTTTTCTTTTTGTGTGTTTTTTTTTTTTGGGGGGGGGGGAATTCTGGATGTAAGATTCCGCATGATTGTAGGAACAACATCAAGGGACCGCAACTTTACATGAAGGAAGCTGCTGACAGCCGAGCATTCCAAAGTCCCAAACGGAGACATGCGCATGCACAGCCTGTGTCCACACGGACGCATCGAACTTTTCGTGCAGCGAGCCTTGCGTGCAAAGCTAAACCCGGCACATCGAGATCGGGGGGGTGTAGGGTTTAGGGTTTAGGGTTTAGGGTTTAGGGTTTAGGGTTCAGGGTTCAGGGTTTTGGGGGGTTTGGAGGAGCTAAGGATTGGGTACTGCAGGCTTAGGGGTCGGAGCAGGAATCGTGGAATGGATTCGAGTCGTCAGCATGGACTCGGCCATGGAAGAGGGCACACAGGAAACCACAGCAAATTCACCACATTCACCGAACAAAGGAGCTGCTAAGTAGCCGAGGTCTCAAGTGGGTGCCCACACGATCTGAATCCAGAGTGGCTCAAAGCATGTGGAGTTGTTTGGGCTAGATGAGGAAACATTTCTAACAATGTTCAGCATACTGAACTGGCATCATGAGTACGACGAGAACGATCAGCATGATGTGATATTCGAACTTGTATGATACGATTAGTATATCTGAGCACCGTCCTCCATCCTATGTGCGTTTCTTTCCGGCTCAGGCCCTGATCCCAAACCCTCAACTCGTGGCCCGAAGGGTTTCGGGGTCGAGGGGTTTTGGAATCTTGGGTTTAGGGCGCAGGGTCCCTGCAGGCAGGGAGCAGTCGTAATCCGTCTTGTTCGTGTGGCAGGAGTCCAACCTTAATGGGCTCGATGGGCCTAAACCCTGGGCCCTCAGCCTGTTTTGACAGTAAGGGCGTCGACCCCCGTGCGAAGCCTGCACGTTTAAGGTGTAGGGCTCAGGGCAGTTTAGGGTTTGTAGCAGAACCCCCCCCCCCCCTCCCCAGTGAACCCTAAACTCCTTTCCCTAGGCCCTTAACCACTGAGGGCAATGCTGTTGTCTTTTTGGCTTGAGTTTCGGGTCCAGGGTTTAGGGTTTGTGTTTCGGGGTTAGGGGGAGATGCTGGGGCTTTCGCTCGGATCGCAAGGAACCCTAAGCCCTCAACCCCTAAACTCCTGATAACCCCCAAGCCCTAAGCAAAACAGCTCAGGGACCTCTCACGCTCGGGCAAGCGTAGAGTAGTGTGGGGTTCAGGGTTTAGGATTTAGGGTTCAGGGGTTTAGGATTTAGGGTTTGGAGCTTGGGTTTAGGGTTTAGGGTTTAGGGCTTAGGGCTTAGGGTTTAGGGTTTGGGGTTTAGGGTTAGGGTTTAGGGTTTAGGGTTTAGGGTTTAGGGTTTAGGGTTTAGGGTTTAGGGTTTAGGGTTTAGGGTTTAGGGTTTAGGGTTTAGGGTTCAGCATCTCAAGTCCAAGCATTCACTAGTCAAGCAATTACTCCAGGAAAATACCCACCCGCCCAAAGAATCCCACAACATTAAGAAAATATTTCACTTATAGAACGACCTTGCCCAGCAAAAAAATGACCTTGCCCAGTAAAAAATGACCTTGCGCAGTAAAAAAATGACCTTGCCCAGTAAAAAAAGTGACCTTGCCCAGAAAAAAAAATGACCTTGCCCAGTACAAACAAGGCCTTGCCCAGTAAAAAAATGACCTTGCCCAGTAAAAAAATGACCTTGCCCAGTAAAAAAACGTCCTTGCCCAGTAACTCATTAACATTTAAATTATATATGAAAGAGAGGTTTAGGGTTTAGGGTTTAGGGTTTAGGGTTTAGGGTTTAGGGTTTAGGGTTTAGGGTTTAGGGTTTAGGGTTTAGGGTTTAGGGTTTAAGGTTTAGGGCCTCAGGGTCCAACAACCTCAAGTCCTGCAGCTGAGGTTCCAGTTCATGTTGCCACCTCAAGAGGGCGTGGGCTCCCACGTGCGAAAGCTTACGCAACAGAAAGCAGAAACCCCAACGTACCGAAGTTACCTCTAGGCTTCGGTTTAGTACAGGGTTGGGGCTTTAGGGTTTAGAGTTTTCGGGTTTAGGCCTTCGGGTTTAGGGTTGTAGGGTGTAACATTCGGACTTCGCGCCTGGCTTTTTGGCTCTTGAAAAGCCTCTGGCTTGAGCTTTCTGAGGAGTTCGGAGGCAACTGCGAGCACTTTTTTGGTGGGGCGTGGAGCTGATTCAGTGGCAGGGAGGGTTGAGGGTTTAGGGTTGAGGGGTTGAGGGGTTGAGGGGTTGAGGGGTTGAGGGTTGAGGGTTGAGGGTTGAGGGTTGAGGGTTGAGGGTTGAGGGTTGAGGGTTGAGGGTTGAGGGTTGGGGGTTGGGGGTTGGGGGTTGAGGGTTGAGGGTTGAGGGTTGTCGGTTCATTTCTCCATTCTTTGTAGGGTCCAGCACGCTTGCAACCAAGTCATTGTTTTGAAGGTGGGAGAAGGCTGAGAATGCCGGGATCCACGTGTTGTACCCCGCTGCAGACACAAAGCCAAGCCTGAGAACTTCCAAACGTACACAAAAATACCGGAAGCTGCGGGCTGGGGTGGGGGCCCTACACACATTCAAACTTCCGTGAATTCATAGGGATGATGCATAGAACTTAATCAACCTCGGCAAACGCCTCCACTGAGGGCGTGGCAGAGGCAACGTTAACAAACCCTGGAAACATCCAAATGCCTTGGAAAGGCCCGAAAGACTAATCGACCGGGAACTTGCTCTGAATGCCATACCCCAAACCCGAAACCACAAAGTTGCTGGGGGCTCTGGGCATCGGGCTCAGCCTCAACCCACGACCCCAGGCCCACACCCCCGCCACCACCACAAACACCTAAACACCCTAAACCCTAAACCCTAAACCGACCCTAAACCCTAAACCCTAAACAGGGGAAACCCCAAACAGGGTGCCCCGGCTAGGATCCGCCCAGAGCGCCAGCACCATCACCATGCCGCGACGGAGGGCCTGCGTTCAGGGTGCGGGCTGTAGAAAGCTCTTTAAGGTTTAGGGTTTAGGGTTTAGGGTTTAGGGTTTAGGGTTTAGAGTTTAGGGTTTAGGGTTTAGGGTTTAGGGTTTAGGGTTTTGGGCTCTGGGCTTTGGGTTTAGGGTTTTGGGTTTACGGGACAACTCGGAGCCTTATCTGTCGAGTAGCCCCAAACAAAGGACCGGACCATCGTGCAAAGAACTGCCCAAAGACGAGGTGCGAAAAAAAAACACAACCCTAAACCCAAACCCATAATTCCAATCCCTCCAGCCAGCCCTCAAATTGCAGATGCTATAAGTACTAGGCCCAGGAGAAACCTAGGAATAGAAAGGGTGCCCTTTTTGAAACCCTAAACCTAAACCCTAGACCCTATATCAGGGAACCCCAACCTTAAAAAAAGGAAATCAGGGTTTGGGGTTTAGGGTTTAGGGTTTAGCGTTTAGGGTCTAGGGTTTAGGGGGCATCGAGAAGGAGTTACGGCTTCGGGTTTCCAACCCCTTGGCCCCCCTCCCAAGGCCTGGCAAGTATGAAACCCTAAACCCTAAACCCTAAACCCTAAATCCTAAACCCGTAGTTCAGACAAAAACAACTTCCGGCCTCACCCATCTGCTTCAGGCCACCTCAGCTGGAGTGTCAAGTTTCCTCCTGAGGTCTCATCCCCTCCCGCTGATATTAAACCCCCCCTACCCCCATAAGACTCAGTACCCCCCCCCCCAAACCCTCAGGGGTATTAAAAAAATCTGGGGATTAAGTACCCACCCCCGCCCCCCACCATTTAGGGGTAGGGGGGGGTGGTTTTTATTTTGTTGGGAGGGGAGTAGCCTCTAGGGGTTTTTGGTTAGGGGGTTAGGGGGTTAGGGGGTTAGGGGTTAGGGGTTTAGGGTTTAGGGGTTTAGGATTCGGGGTTTAGGCTTAAGGGCTTCGAGTTTGGGGTTTTTTGTTCAGGGCTTAGGGTTTAGGGCTTCATGCTTTGCTATCATTGGCACCCCAAAACATGGTCACAGCCACAACTAGAGTCGCCGTACTTTATCCCTCAGCAACAAACAACCTTCGGCTCTTGTCTTAGTTGTCCAGTAACCTGGGGGAATTCAAGGTTAACCTTTGGGATTATAAGGGGGTTATACTACCCCAAAAAAGTTAAAGGTTACCTACTCGACTCTACCACAAGGATGTGATTTCAAGAGGGAGCAGACGGATGATAGGGTATTGAAGCTGACGGTCTTTGGGGCTCAGGCGTTGCGCCCTAAGCCCTGAACCGGGTGTGTAGGGCTTAGGGGGAAGGTGCCCCTGCTGTCGAAGCTGCCGTAGACCTGCGTGAAGTCGTCGTATGGCCTCCGGCAAGTTCATGCTTAGGCTCAGGGGTTTAGGGTTTAGGGTTTAGGGTTTAGGGTTTGGGGTTTGGGGTTTTGGGTTTAGGGTTTTGGGTTTAAGGTTTAGGGTTTAGGGTTTAGGGTGGTTCAGTTATGGGATCCAAGCTGCAGTCGGAGTATCAAAGACCCCATAGCCCTAAACCCCAAACCTGAAACTCAAAACACTAAACCCTAAACCTGAACCCTAAACCTGAACCCTAAACCCTAAACCCTAAACCCTAAACCCTAAACCCTAAACCCTAAACCCTAAACCCTAAACCCTAAACTCTAAACCCTAAACCCTAAACCCCCCCAAACCCTAAACCCTAAACCCTAAACCCTAAACCCTAAACCCTAAACCCTAAACCCTAAACCCTAAACCCTAAACCCCAAGCCGGCGCCTAAAGCCCTCGCCCCTGGGGTTCAGGAAGCGCTCGGCCATCGACAGCCGGGCCTTCGTCACCTCAGTGTCCAGGGAGAAGCCAAAGAGGGTTTTGGGGTTTAGGGTTTAGGGTTTGGGGGTTTAGGGTTTAGGGTTTGGGGTTTAGGGTCTAGGGTTTTGGGGTTTAGGGTTTAGGGTTTGGGGTTTAGGGTTTAGGGTTTAGGGTTTAGGGTTTAGGGTTTAGGGTTTAGGGTTTAGGGTTTAGGGTTTAGGGTTTAGGGTTTAGGGTTTAGGGTTTTTATCGTTGAGGGTTTGAGCCTCAAGGGTTGAGGGTTTGGGGGGTTTGGAGGTTTGGGGGCTTGGGGGCTTGGGGGCTTGGGGGTTTGATGGTTTGGGGGTTTAAGGGTACGAGAGTATGAGGGTTTGCGGGAAGGCTCAGGGCTCAGGGCTCAGGGCTTGGGGCTGAGGGCTTAGGGCTTAGGGCTTAGGGCTTAAGGCTTAGGGCTTAGGGCTTAGGGCTTAGGGCTGAGGGCTTAGGGCTGAGGGCTTCGGGCTTCGGGGTTTTCAAAGGGTTACGGTGGGTTTATAGATCCCAGGGTTTTGGGTGTTGGGCTACCCTAAAATCTAAACCCTAAACCCTAAACCCTAAACCCGAAACCCGAAACCCGAAACCCGAAACCCGAAAAACCTTAAAAACCCTAAACCCTAAACCCTAAAAGCCCTAAACCCGAAAAACCCTAAAAACCCTAAAAACCCTAAACCCTAAACCCTAAACCCTGCCAGTTCTGCTTCCCCTGGTCCAAGCTGAACGCAAGGAAGATGAGGCCCCCTTAAAACAAAGGGGTCTAGGGTTTAGGGATTAGGGTTTAGGGATTAGGGTTTATAGGGTTTAGGGTTTAGGGTTCAGGTTTTAGAATTTGGGGTTTAGGGTTGAGGGTTTAGGGTTTACAGAACTTCGAGAACGGTCCGCATGAGCGACTGCCAAAACCGGTTGGCGGTGCCAATGGACGCAACATGAGGGGTGTCGCCTGCCATGATCGCGCAGTGTCAAGGAACTTAAAACAAGCAACGCAAAAACCTTAACCCTCACCCGGGAGCCTGAGTGCTGTCTTACCAGTATGTGCCCAGTTCAGGGTTTTGAGTGTAGGGTTTAGGGTGAGGGGTTTAGGGCTGACAAGGCACCCCATTCTGGCTGAGGATCTGGACGATGTCCTCAGCGCATTCCGCATGCCAAACCCTAGCCTTTCCACCCCTGAACCTGGCTCGTACACCAGGGTTTGGGTTTAGAGCAGGGCTTAGGGCTCGGGGCTCAGGGCTTAGGGCTCAGGGTTTGAAGTTTAGGGCTTAGGGCTGAGAGCTTAGGACTCAGGGCTCAGGGCTCAGGGCGACTAAGCAGCATAACAGAGCTTCCGTGCTAGCTGTACTGTAAAGAGGAGGAAGCTCACAGGAGACCCCTCACCCTCATGTTCAGGGTCTGGGGATATCCTCATGGGGTGCAGATTCAGGTGAACTTTGGACTTCAGATCCTCGGACATGTCTGCTTGCAACCTTCAAGGAAAGCACTCCCCCAAAAGCCCTACGCCCTAAGCCTCATGCGTGGGGCCCTTCCAGAACCCACCCCCTACAAGACCCGTGAAATTTGGAGCACCAGCCCAGGTGTCCACCAGCGTGCCGTTGGCAGCCCCGTTGTCCGTCACGAAGGTCGTGTTGATCTCCGAGAGGGTACGTGGGTGGGTGGGGGAGGGGGGGGGGGGGGGGGGGGGGGGGGGGGGGGGGGGGGGGGGGGGGGGGGGGGGGGAGGGCCGGCGGGTGGTTACCCCAAACCCTAAACCCTAAAAAACCCTAAACCCCAATTAAACCCTAGACCCTCAACCACTCAGGTTTAGGGTGCTGAGGGCGCCGGCTTACCCTAAACCCTAAACTCTAAACCCCAATCGCCTTGAACGGCTGGGACACGTCCACCATGTCGAAGAGCGCGTGGCCCGGGCCTGCGCAGGTGGTAGGGAAAGTTGGCCGGGTTTAGGGTTTAGGGCTTAGGGTTTAGGGTTTAGGGCTTAGGGTTTAGGGTTTGGGGGGCTAGGAGCAGGGGCTTAGGGTTGAGGATTATTTAGAACAAGAACCTATGCATGCACAGTTTCCTCTATCGGACAAGTTCCTCAATAGCGAAACCCTAAGCCCTAAACCCTAAGCCCTAAACCCTAAACCCTAGACCCTAAACCCTAAACCCTAAACCCTAAACTGTGTGTGTGTGTGCGTTTGTTTAATCAGGGCCCTTTTTTGGAGCGGCTCGAGGGTGAGGAATGCTGATTACATCTACGCTACTACGTGCGTTCCTTATATCCTGCACCCATAGTTCTGACCATGGACCATCGGACGGCTGGCTTTCACCTCCCTGAACCCACACCCCGAAACCTCCAAAATCAATAATTCGAGAAGGGTTTTATAGTATAGTATTATAGGGACCACAAGGGATTAAAACTAGATGAGGTTCAGGGATTTTCAGAAGGTCCACTCCCTCATCCGACGCTGCGCCCTCATGAGCCAGCCCCGAATCGGGTTGAAGCTTCAGGGCTCAGGGTTCAGGGGTCAAAACCAACAGGGATGCTAACAAGAGCTCCGAGGAGTTCTGTTTTTTTGGGGGGTTTTTCTCCCATGGCATGCACCGACCGCGCGACAGAAGACTGCGCAGCCTGACTCGCGGAAAGTGTTGATGTCGGCGCCCGCACTGTCGCAGGCTGCTTTGCAATCCTTCCGGGGGGCCGGGGGGGGGGGGGGGGGGGGGGGGGGGGGGGGCGGTCAAACACAAACGAAGCCCTAGGGATTACCCTAAACCCTAGACCCCAACCCCTTCTGGATGAGGCGTTCGGGTGGCTGTGGGCGCGGCTGACAGAGGGGATTTAAGGGCTCGTGTGATTCGAGGGGCTTGTGCCTTAAGGAGTTGATCTTGGGGTCAAAATTTATTAGGTCAGGCTACTGTAAGGGCTGCCGTTGTTGATGATGATGATGATGATGGCGATGATGGCGATGGCGACCATGATTGATGGAGAGTGGGGGGGGTGTTCATGCAGCTGTCTATCGCGGATTTGGGGGTTTCGGGCCTCAGTTTCGGGGTTGGGGTTCGGGCGGGGCTTGTTCAAAGGTCCTCTCAAGGCAAACTCTACCCATTCACCTGCTTTGTTCGCTCTCCTCAGAATTCCGCATTGTCTTGCGCCAGTAGGGTTTAGTGTTTAGGGGTGCAGGGTTTAGGGTTCAGGGTTCTGGGTTCAGGGTTTAGGGTTTAGGGTTTAGGGTTGAACTACGAAAATAGGACCCCCAATATAGATCCCCACATATAGGAACCACTTATAATAAGGACCTCAAAAACGTACCCCGAATATCGTAAACCCCACAAATCTAGGATCAAGAGTAAGTTTAGGGTTCCCTCCAATGCCCCTTTCAACCAAAAAGGGCACCCTTTTCAAATTTTCGGTTCCTCTTGGGTCTAGAAGGCAACTGAAACCCTCAACCCGAAACCCTAAACCCTAAACCCTAAACCCTAAACCCACATCCTGTGGAGACCTCTTCGGGTGCCGGCCGCTCTTGCGATGAGCGGGCTGACCGGGACAGAAGTCCAGGCGTGAATGCAGAGTCTGGGGTCGATAAGCCCTAAACCCCAAACCTCAAATCCCAAACCCCAAGCCCAAAACCCTAAACCCTAAATCCTAGGCCAAAACCCTAAACCCTAAACCCTAAACCCTAAACCCTAAACCCTAAACCCTAAACCCTAAACCCTAAACCCTAAACCCTAAACCCTAAACCGGTAACCCTAAACCCTAAACCCTAACTCAAACCCTAAACCCTAAACCCTAAACCCTAAACCCTAACTCAAACCCTTTGTGACGGCTCTCCTCCACGGTCTCGGAGTCGCAAACGCTCTCCTGTCACCGGCAGATGAGGCTAGGGTTAGGGCGGTCCAAGGTTTAGGGTTACGGTTTAGGGTTTAGGGTTTAGGGTTTAGGGTTTAGGGTTTAGGGTTTAGGGTTTAGGGTTTAGGGTTTAGGGTTTAGGGTTTAGGGTTTAGGGTTTAGGGCTTAAGGCTCACAAGGTATACTGAGGATAAGTGTGGCACAGCTAGCTTCATGCTCACGCTCTACAGTATCATTGCAGTTCAGGGTTTAGGGCAGGGCGAGGCCCCCCAACGCGCAGTAATATAGAGGCCTAAGAATTAGCATGGGGCTGAACAGGGTTTTGGGGATTACGAAAGTAGAATTACAAAGGGACGCTGGGGGAATCCCTATATTATTAACCACGGCTTAACGGAGCAATAAAAGCGCCCCCCCCCCCCCCCCCCCCCAAGTTTAAACATTGGGGCTAATAAGCAGACGCTCACTGTCTAGAGGCCTCGCCAAGAGTTGAGGTCTTCGGCCCCTACACCGTAAACGCTAAAACCCTAAACCCTAAACCCTAAACCCTAAACACTAAACCCTAAACCTGACAGCCCCCAAACCTTTCGGCCTCGCTTTTCTGCAGAATTAGGAGGACCCCCTGCCTTAGCCAGCTTGCACGGGTGAGCCGTGACAGCCTGCACGAAGCGGTTGCCCTCAAAGAGGTCCTCGGTAAGGGCGCGTCGGGGGGAGGCTTGTGGGGTTGGGGCTTAGGGGGTTTAGGGTTTAGGGTTTAGGGTTTAGGGTTTAGGGTTTAGGGTTTAGGGTTTAGGGTTTAGGGTTTAGGGTTTAGGGTTAGGGTTTAGGGCTTAGGGTTTAGGGTTTAGGGTTTAGGGTTTGTGGGCTTAGGGCTTAAGGGCTTGAGGGCGTATAGGGCTCAGGGATTATCGGGCTTAGGGTGTTCAGGTTGAGGTTTCAAGGTTTGGGCCTGGGGTTTAGGACGCTGACATGCAGGTTCACGCCAGTTCAGGGCAGCGGGTCCAGGGCTTAAGGTTCAGCATCTTGAGACCGGTCTCCATCTCCGGGCAGCACGAAGCGAGCTTGTGGTCCTTGTTGTAGCCTGCTACAGCCGAAGTTACATCCCCCCATTTACCTAGCAACACGCCGAGAGGTTCACAGGGTTTTGGGGCACCCTGAACCTTGACCCCAAAAACCACCTTCATCCCCCTAAATCCTAAATCCTAAACCCTAAACCCTAAACCCTAAACCCTAAACCCTAAACCCTAAACCCTAAACCTGTAATCTCCTAAACCCCAAAAACCCTAGAATCCCCAACCCCCAAACCCCTAAACCCGAGACCCTTACAACCTAAGCCGGCCTTGACCTTGGACGAATTTCAGGTCCTTCGGGCACTGCGCATCGCAGTAGCCAAGGCCTCGTCGGGGTTTAGGGTTGAGGGTTTAGGGTTTAGGGCTTAACCCTAAACCCTAAACCCTCTAAACCCTCTCAAACCCTCTCAAACCCTATATAAACTCTTTCATCCCTAAACCCAAAAGTGAAGCCTGGAGCCCTACAACCTAGAGCTTTCGAGTTCAAAGTTGAGTGTTCGCGTGTAGATTTCGGCAGGGTCCAGGGGCTAGGATCAGACCAGGGCCTCACACGGCTTTCCCCATCACAATGCAAAAAACACAGCAGCTGAAAAAGTTCCCAGGGTTTGGGGTTTAGGGTTTAGGGTTTAGGGTTTAGGATTTAGGATTTAGGGTTTAGGGTTCAGGGTCCCCAAATCCCAAACCCTCTTCGCTGGGGGGGGCCGCACAGGGGTGTTTGAGGCTTTCGAGGTTTGGGGTTTGGAGCTAGGCCTGCCAAAAATCTACGACTTTTTTTTGCAGCGAACATGTTCTTTCTGGCTCATGGTGCCTCAAAACGCCGGCTTAGACTTATACACTCAGGGCCGCAATGCAGCCTAGGGCAACCATGGACATAACAGGCCAACACCTTTTGGAGGGAAGGGTTCCAACTCGCCTTGCTTCGAAGATGGCCCGGCAGTAGCCACAACTAGCGTTCTCCCAAGTATAACCCGTCCTTATGGCCCTAATCACTCCATGAACCTTCACGTATGCGGGGCCACAGCGCCCTTAACCCCAACCCCACAAACTCTAAGCCCTAAACCCTAAACCCCAAACCCCAAACCCTAAACCCTAAACCCTAAACCCTAAACCCTAAACCCTGAACCCTAACCCTAAGCCCTGCCTCGCATCCAACCTGCGGTGTTCATCACGCCATCGGGGCTGACGGAGTTGAGGTTCCTTGAGATCTCAGGCTTGGGTTCAGGGTTCAGGGTTTAGGGTTCAGGGATTAGGGTTTAGGGTTTAGGGTTCAGGGTTCAGGGTTCAGGGTTTAGGGTTTAGGGTTTAGGGTTTAGGGTTTAGGGTTCAGGGTTAGGGTTTAGGGTTTAGGGTTGGGATCTTTGCTCTAGAGGGCTGTTTGGGTTTGGGGGGGTAGGGGTTAGGGGTCAGGGTTTAGTTTAGAGTTTAGGGTTTAGGCTTTGGGGTTTGGGGTTTCGAGTTTAGGGTTTCGCGTTTAGGGTTTAGGGTTTAGGGTTTAGGGTCTATTTTGGGCTGCGGCCGGTTTGTGGGTCGCGAATCGCAACGGCTCAGGGCTGAAAAAACAGCTTCGACAAACGCCCACCGCCCTGGATTTGGGCTTAGGGTCCGGGTCTCGTGTTTGGGGGTTTCGGGTTTACCGTGACAGCCCGTCCTGGTCAACCCTAGAACCCTATGAACGCTGAACCGCTAAACCCCCCAATCCTCTGCAACTAGCAGTTGAATCCACGATATTCGCCAAACGCGTCAGAAAAGCGGGTCATGAGCAGGACGCCCAGGGAAACTGGATGGAGGCCCCCGAACACCCACGGGCCAAGAGGAAGTTGGACGAAGGTATTCCAAAGGCGTACGACGAATGCCGAAAAGGGTTCGACGAAGGCTGAGGGGAAGAGGGGTTTTGGCGGCCTTTTCCGGAGTACCATCCCGCCCCATACGCCGTTCTCATCGGCTCGTCCCTCATGCTTGATACAAAAAACATGGACATCCGACATTGGGAAAAATTGGTATTAAATTCGGGGCTTAGGGCTTGGGCCTTTGGAAACTCTAGGGTTTAGGGTGTAGGGTTGCAGGCGTTGGCGAGATGAGAGGTGGGGTTTGGGGAGTTAGGGGGTAGAAACCTTTGCTAGGAGGTTCCTGGCTTTGGGTACGTGCATCCTCTCCGGCCCAGCCCTACCTACTTGCTTCGAACTACAAAACCCAGGAGCCCTAAACCCCTGAACCCTGAACCAACCCTGAACCCTGAACCCTAAACCCTAAACCCCAAACCCTAAACCCTAAACCCCAAACCCTAAACCCTAAACCCTAAACCCTAAACCTAAACCCTAAACCCTGCCCCATGAACCCCTAAGTAACCAAGTTAAAGGCCCCAATGTCCAGTAGCCGGGCCAAGACACCCATACCGGTCCATTGACACCAGGTAGACTGCGGCGTTCCTTGACGTCTTTAGGGTTTCGGGTTTTAGGGGTTTAGGTTTTTGGAGTGTAGGGCCTGCTGTTCGGGACTCACTACCACCCTGAACTCTGCGCAGCACATTCCGCTTGCGTGGCTTCAACTGCAGGCAAGCCTCATTCCTGCAGGGACCTGCCCGGGCAGGTTGTCTCTTTCGCTGTGTGCGAAGGCAAAGTAATCTCTAAACCCCAAGCCCCAAGCCCCAAGCCCCAAGCCCCAAGCCCCAAGAGCCCAAAGCCCCAAGAGCCCAAAGCCCCAAAAGCCCCAAAAGCCCCAAGCCCCAAAAGCCCCAAGCCCCAAACTCCCGGCGGCTGTTCAAGTTTTAGGGTTTAGGGTTTAGGGTTTAGGGTAAGGTTTAGGGTTTAAGGGTTTAAGGGTTTAAGGGTTTAAGGGTTTAAGGGCTTAGGGCTTAGGGTTTGGTATTTACAAGGTTTGCGTTTTTGAGTCCTGGGTAGCCGTAGCCAAGGCTTTGGTAGTTGAATTTCAGTTGAATTAGAGTTACGTTTATGTGTACCGAGGCTGCCCGACACCATAAGTGAGAAGAGCGAGGATGAATTAGTCAATAAAAAACGTGTGCAAACAGTGAAGGAGTAGTTGCGATACAAGGAATCAGAGTAGCAGAAGACCCGACGCAAAGAGAGAAGAGCCATGGTTCGGATTTGCCGTCTGGTGTTCCTCCATTTGTCGTGCTTTTGAGGACCTTTCTGGGCTGGTTCGATGCCTGAACTGGACGACCCCTGTGTCCCAGGGGGTACAGGTGGGGGGGGCACGCACGGAGTGCAACTTTGCAAGATCTCCCTGAGTGTTTTCCTCGGCGCCACACCGGGGTCAGCTAAGGTTGGTCTGTATAACAAATCCTGGCGAAGGGCTGCTCATGCAACAAGAGGGTGCTGGTGTCAAAGTGCTTTCGAACGTCTGCGCAGACAGGCTCCCCCCTCCCCCCCTCAACCCCCCAAACCCGTTCAAAAAAGGGCAACGCAACCATGTATGCAAACGCAGAAGAGGTAGCAGGTAGCGGGTAGTGCAGAAGGTAGGTATTTCCAAAGATGCACACGCAGGCCAGTGTTTCGCAGCTCTGGAGGAAGCCCGTCGCATCTCAACACGCCCGAACCCTGAAAAATCGTCCCTGCAAATGAACCCTCCAGCAGGGTTCAGAGTTTCGGGTTTAGGTTCCAGGCTCATGTGCTAGCCGCTATTCTGGAGGAGGCACCTCAAGAGCAATTTCGATACTTCAAGGAGGCTGAAGGGTTTGGGGTTTAGGGTTTAAGGCTTCACTGGCTCAAGCCGCACCTGGCTCACGTCCACGTCAAAAGCGATATCTCCGCCCATGGGCGCGAACAACGTGTAGCCCTTTCCTTCAGATGACTCAAGCTTAGGGTCTTGAAGACTGAGGGGCACAGCCCCTAAACCCTCAACCCTACACCCTGACCCCTAAACCCGAAACCCTACTCTAAACCCTCAGCCCTACACCCTGACCCCTAAACCCTAAACCCTAAACCCTAAACCCTAAACCCTAAACCCTAAACCCTAAACCCTAAACTGGTTCTGAGGCTTCGTGGGCAGGGCTTAGGAGGCTGAGGCTGAGGGTTTGCCAAGCCGCCGCTGCCGAGTCGAGGCTTCTGATGTCGAGGGCTTAGGGTTTTAGTGTTTAGCGGCTTGGGGTTTAGGGTTTTGGGATTTCTGATGGTTTTTAGGCTTTAGCGGCTTGGGGTTTAGGGTTTTGGGATTTCTGAGGTTTTCAGGTTTCGCGGCTTGGGGTTTAGGGCTTTGGGATTTCTGGGGTTGTGGCAAGCTGCTAACCTGCACCAACCTCCTCTTCTCACTCATACACCGAAACCCTAACACGAAAGTCACCCCGGTGATCTCTGATAGACCAGGCGCCGTCCGTGAGGTAGATACGGGAGCCGTAGTTCGGTGATGGGGCATTCGCATCCTGTCCAGGCCAGCCAAATGGGTTGAGGATTTAGGGCTTTGGGCTTTGAGCTTGTTGGTTTAGGAGTTGGGCTTCTGGTGAACAAGCTTTGCGGCTAGTTGATACGGAGGTCTCAATACCCAGGGCCTTTGCTTCCGGCTTGCCCTAAACCCTAAACAAAACCCTAAACCCTAAACCCTAAACCCCAAACCCCAAACCCTAAACCCGAAATCCTGGCTCAGCCGAAGAGGTACCCAATGGCCGGGGCGAACAAAGATATCTGTGCTTCTGGAACCCAGACAGAGCTGTGCCAGCTACAGCTTTCCTAGTCGGAGCTTTTCCACTCTGAGCGTTTGTTTAGGTTTCAGGTTTCAGGGTTCAGGGTTTAGGGTTTAGGGTTTAGGGATTAGGGATTGGAGGTTAATTAGGGTTTAGGGTTTAAGGGTTTACGGTTGCAGAAGACATAAACCATGCAGTTGGGACAGCGCAATCGCATCGCCATTTGCCCTCGACGTGCTTGGAAGTAAGTAGCTGCTGCAGATATCTGCAGAGCCGAAAGGTGAGGAGAAACCAAAGCCCTAAACCCTAAACCCGAAACCCTAACCCTAAACCCCAAACCCCAAACCCTAAACCCGAAATCCTGGCTCAGCCGAAGAGGTACCCAATGGCCGGGGCGAACAAAGATATCTGTGCTTCTGGAACCCAGACAGAGCTGTGCCAGCTACAGCTTTCCTAGTCGGAGCTTTTCCACTCTGAGCGTTTGTTTAGGTTTCAGGTTTCAGGGTTCAGGGTTTAGGGTTTAGGGTTTAGGGATTAGGGATTGGAGGTTAATTAGGGTTTAGGGTTTAAGGGTTTACGGTTGCAGAAGACATAAACCATGCAGTTGGGACAGCGCAATCGCATCGCCATTTGCCCTCGACGTGCTTGGAAGTAAGTAGCTGCTGCAGATATCTGCAGAGCCGAAAGGTGAGGAGAAACCAAAGCCCTAAACCCTAAACCCGGAAATAGGTAGCTGTGCTGACAGGCTGAGGAGCTGAACCAAAACGGTTGAGGACGGCGCAAACCAACATGCCCTAAACCCTAAACCAAAGCCCTCCTAAACCCTAAACCCTAAACCCCACACCCTCAACCCGAATAATAATACAACGCGTCCAGGGTAAGAGAACATGTTCAGGGGTTTGGAGCCCGAGGAGTGTTAGATTTTTTTGGGGTCATAGAGTTTAGGGTTTAGGGCTTAGGGTTAAGGGTTTGGGGTTTGGGGTTTAGGGTTTAGAAACATGCAGACAAAGTTGGGGTGCCCGGCCTTGGTGGCAAAGCGCATGGTGATGGCCCGGTTGTTTGGAACACCCACCTGCTGGGGTTTAGGGTTTAGGGTATAGGGTTTAGGGTTTAGGGTTTAGGGTTTCGGGTTTCGGGTTCGGGTTTCGGGTTTCGGGCTTCGTGTTCAGGCTCTCGGGTTCAGGGTGCTGCATGACGAACATCGCTACGCATCATCTTGGGGTCGAGTGTGGCAGGGATCCCGCCTCCACTCCATATGCTTCCTGGGCCGCAAGCGGGATGGCTGTCTAGGGTGTACTTTCGAAGGTTCATGGAGGAGAGATGTAGGGAAGATTGCAAGGGTTTGAGGCTCAAGTATGCCAAATGCTTCCCCTCCCCTAAACCCTAAACCCTAAACCCTAAACCCTAAACCCTAAACCCTAAACCCTAAACCCTAAACCCTAAACCCTAAACCCAGCCAAAACCCGAAATTCGAACCCATGGAACTACCCACCCCTGAACCTCCAAGTACACCCGTTTGGGAATTTGGAAGCTGTCGGCCGGGCTGCACCAAGGGTTTAAGTCCCTTAGGGTTTAAGGTCTAGGGTCTGGGTTGTTAAACCTAAACCCTAATCGCTAAACCCCAGCTGACAGTACGGAAAAGTGAACTCAACAAAACCACGAGACCATGAGTCGGGTTGAAGTACTCTGGGGTGGATTCTGGGGCTTAGGGCTTGGTGTTTGGGGTTCAGGCGGGGGACCTGTAAAATTGAAAGTTCTGGCGTGCTTTGGGGGGCCCCTGCGGAAGTTAAACTTCCAATTCATGGGAGTCGTGCAGGTTCCTGCAGCCGCAAAGTCATTGCTCACCTCTTTGCTACACTTGTCGTGAACGCCCTGCCGCCTAAACCCTAAACCCCTAAACCCTAAACCTCTAAAACCCTAAACCCTAAACCCCTAAACCCTAAACTGCCCTAAACCCCTAAACCCTAAACTGCGCTAAACCCTAAACCCTAAACTGCCCTAAACCCTAAACCCTACTAAACCCTATTCCCTAAGCTCGCAGAGTCGCATCTTTGGCATCTAAGGCGCCGCATATCTGGTGGCACTCAGCCCCTGCAAGTAGCACCTGTCAGAGTTTAGGGTTTAGGGTTTAGGGCTTAGGGTTTAGGGCTTAGGGTTTAGGGCTTAGGGCTTAGGGTTTAGGGCTTAGGGTTTAGGGTTTAGGGTTTAGGGTTTAGGGTTTAGGGTTTAGGGTTTAGGGTTTGGGGTTTTAGGGTTTCTAGGGGTTTACAACTTGGGGGTTCAGGGTATCTAGGGGTTTCCAACTTGGGGGTTTAGGGTTTCACAACTTGGGGGTTTAGGGTTGCTAGGGGTTTATGAGGGCTTCATATGGGGGGTGGGGGGGGGGGGGGGGCAGTTTCCGAACATAGGGGCACGCTTTTAGGTTGCATGAGATCCAGTTTAGCATGCTCAAGCGCCACCAGCCCACAAAAGAAACCCTAAACTCCAAGGGTCTAGACCAAAAAAAGCCTTGCTTGGCCCTCAAACCTGCTGAGGCCCTAAAGCAAAGAATCCCGACTCCCTAAACCCTAAACCCTAAACCCTAAACCCTAAACCCTAAACCCCAAACCCTAAAGCCCCATTAACTCCGTGAGCCCCGGCCTTTCAAGGGCCGCCGCACCACGGACGGCGGCGCTGCCGCAATCCTGGCACAAGATGTGGCGTTGATTGTTTATGGTTTCGGGGTTTTGGGGTGTTAGGGTTGTAGGGTTTAGGGCTTCAGGGTTTTGGATGTTCCCCCCTATACTAACAGCTCCTTAATCGGGATTATAGTACCCCCATATTTTCACCCCCTACTAAGGACTGTTAGTATAAGGGGAACATCCTACCCGAAACCCTAAACCCCGGGGCAGGGTGAGGCAACAGGGCGCAAGGTTTAGAGCGGAGAAGCCTCAACACTCGTGTAAGCCGCCAAAAGCCGTCGATACTTGGAGGTTCATGGACAATAACGATTCAGTCTGGTCAAAAGTTGCTGGCCAGGATAACCTGTTTTCGGGTGGTCCTAGTGTGTACAAACACCAAAAAAACCAACTATCCCAAACCCTACAAAGCCCTATAGAATCCTCAACCCTGCAACCTCAAACCCTAAACCCTAAACCCTAAACCCTAAACCCTAAACCCTCCCTAATAAATCTGAAGAATCACCCTAAACCCTAAACCCTAAACCCCAAACCCTAAACCATCGGGGAGTTCGGAACTTTCATGCCTGCGAGGTCGGGGAGGGGGGAGGGAAAGGGTGTCTGGCCTTGCTCTCGGAGGTGTAAAGCCAACCTCGGCCAGCGGTTTCGTGAAACTTTGGGGTTCAGGGTTTAGGGTTCAGGGTTCAGGGTTCAGGGTTTGGGGTTTCAGGTTTAGGGCTTAGGGTTGAGGATTTAGGGTTTTAGGGCTTAGAGGGCTTGTACGGGTACCATGGTTTATGGGGCTTTAGGGTTTATAGGGCTTATAGGGTTTTCGCAAGGGTTTTAGGGTTACCCTAAATTTAAACCCTAAACCCTAAACCCTACACCCTAAACCCTAAACCCTAAACCCTTAAACCCTTAAACCCTTGGGTTCAGGGTTTGGGGTTTAGCCAAGGTTTTCAGAGGCCTCCGTGGGGAAGCGCACGCCAAGCGGCGCCATCTTCCGTCCAAGACGGCAAACTGGGCTTCGTCTTCACCTCGGCTCGCTGGGGTTAGGGGATCCTAAACCCTAAACCCTAAACCCTAAAAGCCTTTGAGGCTCATAGAGCTTTAGGCAGGGCTTAGAACCCAAAGTCTAGTGGGCCGCTGCCACTAAGCCTGGGGCGTCGGCGACTTGTTCAACCGACGATTGAAGCTCAGTTTGGGTCCGGGGATGTTCAGGGTTTCGGGTTCCTAAACCCTCAACACTCAACCCTCAACTCTAAAACGCTCAACCCTAAACCCTACAGACGTCCAGCGCCCAACCTCTGAGCCCCGTAAAATCGAAACACAGGTCTCACAGGCACCAACCTGGGTACCTTTTTGAGGTTTAGGGTTTAGGGCTTCGGGGGGCTCAGGGTTCCTGATATGAGGATTACAAAGGGTGCATAAGGAATTCCTTAATTTAGGGAAAACCATCTGCTGCAACGGGGCTGGGTTAATCAAAACTAGGCTTGCTACTTTGGGGGGATTGCTGATAAGGAACCTTCGGGAAGCCTTGCGGCAATAAAGAGTACGTACAAGGGGTGACGAGCTTAACACAAACCCCGCGCGTTTGCCGAATCCGGCGGAGGCTCCGTTGTTCGAGATGCGTATGCCGGCATTTCTCGTGTCCTCGGCACAACCCCAACCCGAAACCCTAAACCCAAACCCGAACCCTAAGCCCCAAACCCCACTTTGTCTTCCAGGCAACAGGCCCAGAAGTCCTTCTAAGAAACGACCTCTATCTCCCGAAGCTATGGAGTCCCCAAAGCTGGACCACATGCCTCAAAAGTCTACCTAAACCGATAGCTATCCCAAAGTCCCTACCACCTGGGACCCTGAGCTCTTTCGCCTTGCCAGAGGGTGTCGGAGAGGGTGCAGGCTTAGGGTGTGAAGCTCATAGGGTTCGAGGTTCGGGTTTCTTTCGGGTTTCGGGCGCCAGAACCCAGCTTCCAGCCTCGGGACAACGCTGAAAGCCGGGTGAACTAGGTCACAGGTCAGAACGAGAGCTGGCCCGCTAACCTCCCAGAACACCCCCCCCAGGCAGGCTCCTAGCCATGCCAAAAACCTTGCCCCCCCCCCCCCACCCCCGTCCCGTAATGGAGTTCAGGGAGCCCAGAGCCCAGAGGACCCAACAGTTAAGAGAATCGTTTAGGGTTTAGGGTTTAGGGTTTAGGGTTTAGGGTTTAGGGTTTAAGGTTTAGGGTCTGAATGCCTAGGGCTTTGGGGTGAGTCAGCCGCAGGGTGCTGAAGGCTCACCCCCTTCACCCGCCGGACCCTCGACTTTGAGGGTTTGGGGTTCTAGGGTTTTGGGTTTTGGGTTTTGGGTTTGGGGTTTAGGGTTTAGGGTTTAGGGTTTAGGGTTTAGGGTTTAGGGGTTTAGGGGTTTAGGGGTTTAGGGGTTTAGGGTTTAGGGTTTAGGGGTTTAGGGTTTAGGGTTTAAGGTTTAGGGTTTAGGGGGTAGGGTCTGGGGTTTAGGGGCTGGGAAATAGGGCTTAGGGGGTAGGAATTAGGGTTTAGGGTTTTCGGAATTTAGGGTATAGGGTTTAGGGTTTAGGGCTTAGGGCTTAGGGCTTTTTTTTTCTGGGTTAAGGGTTGAGGGTTAAGGGTTTATGGTTTAGCGCAGATGGCCTCGTCACCCCTTGGATCCACCTGCGCCACCGCTTGGGCCAGGGCTTTTTGGGGCCTATACCACTATTTGCTTAAGAACCCCCCCCAAGAATACAAAATCACAATAATCTCTATGTTACCCTTATAAGGAAGAATGTTTTTGTTTTTTGGGGGGTTCTCAAGCAAAGTTGGTGGCATATATGTTATGGGGGTTTCTGACAATAGGGGTATCCTTTTGGGGGGTTTCTGAAATAAGGCCCATCCTATTTTGGGGTATATTCTGGGTACCGTAGTGGACGAAATACCCATATCCCTGGCCCTAAAGCTACTATTTGGGAACCCTTTAAGGAACAAGTACATACTATATAGTTACATGGACCCTAAGGGTAAGGGCTGCACGGTCTGTTTAGGGTTGTTCTGGGGCTAGAGCTGGAAGGTTGGTCGCTTGGCTAGGCTTGAGGGGTTTAGGGTTCAGACGTTTAGACGTTGTGACGTTTAGACGTGTGGACGCTTGGACGTTTAGACGCTGAGGGTTGAAGGGATGAGGGATTGAGATCGCGTTTGGGGTAAGTCTCCAGGTGTGGCCCTTGCAATCCTGAATCCAATGCCTTAGGGTTTAGGGTTTAGGGTTTAGGGTTTAGGGTTTAGGGTTTAGGGTTTAGGGTTTAGGGTTTAGGGTTTAGGGTTTAGGGTTTAGGGTTTAGGGTTTAGTGTTTAGGGTTTAGGGTTTAAGGTTTAGGGTTTAGGGGCCCCAAACCCTGAACCCTCAAATCGCACAAAAAAGTCAGACAGAGCGAGCCGGCAGCGTAAGCAAAAAAGGGAAGAAGCATCGCCAGAAGTTTGGCCGGCAGCTGCTTATGGCTTATGGTCCCGGAGCCGACATCCAGCTTCGCTAGGTGATGAAACCCACGTGCCTGCTGGCTTTCGATGAAGTATGCCCCAAGACTGGAAACACTCAAGGTTCAATAAATAATATTATGAACAAACCGATCCCACCGGCAACCCTGAACCCCAAGCCCCAGAAAAGACGCTCAACCATAATGCCCTAAACCCTAAACCCTAAACCCTATTACCATAGGCAAGCCGCGGAGAGTTAATCCCCGCCTGCTGCGCCGCCAGAAGCGGAGGGAGGAGTGCCAGGAGCAGCGCGTTGCACCTCGCTTCAGAGACAGATTTTGGGTTTCGGGTTTAGGGTTTCGGGTTTAGGGTTTCGGGTTTAGGGTTTCGGGTTCGGGGTTCAGGGTTCAGGGTTTGGGGTTCAGGGTTCATGGTTCAGGGTTCAGGGTTCAGGGTTTAGGGTTTAGGGCTTAGGGTTTAGGGTTTAGGGTTTAGGGTTTAGGGTTTAGGGTTTGGGGTTTGGGGTTTGGGGTTCAGGGTTTAGGGTTTAGGGTTTAGGGTTTAGGGGCAAGTTGGGTTTGGGGTTGAGGATTACTTGGTGACTTTGGTTGAGAAGGATTTAGGGGGCACAGGGGAACTAGAAGGAAAGGGGTGTCTTGGGTTTGGGCGGTTTCAGGCAGAGTCCGCTACTGCCACAAACCCTGGCGGCCCTTTTGCTGAGAAGCCCCAACCCCCTTTCAAGCCCCCAGCCTCGAGAATCCTGCGGCTCTTATCGTTGCTTCCGACAAGAAGAATAAGGAAGAGGCATTTCTGGCCACGGATTGGCTTCGGGGGCTTTGGGGGCCTTGGGGGCTTCGGGGCTTTAGGGGGGCTCCGGGGCTTGGGCGCTTCGGGTTTAGGCCCAGACTCCGGCAAGCAATCTGCCACACTGCTACTTGAAGGTCCCTCAGCTGTTTCCACAAGCATTCTTCCCCACAAAGACCTTCAACTAAACCCCCCAAACCCTAAAACCCCTAAAACCCTAAAACCCTCGCTTCCAGGACGGCCTTGGTGACTGATGTTTTGGCCGCGCCATGTCAGGCGGCGGAGATTGCTTTCAGTCCCAGAGGAGTAATCCACACAAAAGGGGTGCGAGGGCTTCGAGTTTTCGGGGGGGGACTGGGCTGAAGGCTGCGGCTGGGTTGAGGGGTTTAGGGGTTTAGGGCGTTGGGTTTGGGAGGGTTCGGGTTTGGGGTTGGAGTGGCGGAGGTGCGCCTCAGCTTCAAAAGACGAAAGCCTTGGTACGCTGCAAAGGACGGGACTTCCGTGGCCGCATGGTCTCGACACGAGCTGCAAAAGCTGCGAACGGAGACACTCCAAGAAAGCAGGGGTGGCGACGGTCGCTCCCAGAAGGAGGGTGTAAGGGAGCGCCCACACCCGCCCCCTAAACCCTAAACCCTAAACCCTAAACCCTGAAGCCTAAACCCCCAAACTTAAGCCTGGTAAGGCATGGCGGGGGGGGAGGGGGGGGTCCCTGAATCCTTCAACTGCCTCAAGCTTCTACACCCCTTGAAGCCGTAAACCCTTGACCCTTCAGCCCTTAGACCCTAAACATGTAGGGTTTAGGGGTGTAGGGTCTAGGGTTTAGGGTTTAGGATTTAGAATTTAGGGTTTAGGATTTAGGGTTAGAGGCTAGGGTTTCGGGTTTCCTGCCCCCAACTCGAACTCCGACATCCGATAGACAGGTCACTGTAATATTAAGGGGTCCGACTAAATACTAATAGTATTTCCTTAGGGTCCCTGTACTATCATACCATAGTAACCACCGAAACCTTTTTCTAACTACTCAGGCCCCTATACCACTGCCACTGCTAATAGTATTTCCTTAGGGTCCCTTTATTATTATACTATTATTATATAACACCCGAAACCTTTTTCTAATTCTTCAGGACCCTATACCACTGCCACTGCGGTACCTCTAAGATATGGCTAAGGCCTGAGGGTCTGGCTTTGGCACTGCGGTGCCTCTAAGATATGGCTTAGGGTTGAGGGTCACTTTGGACTTTGCGGCTCAGGGTTAATCCTAAACCCTATCCCTAAACCCTAAACCCTAAACCCTAAACCCTAAACCCTAAACCCTAAACCCTAAACCCTAAACCCTAAACCCTAAACCCTAAATCCTAAACCCTGTTTTGGGATTTGGGGTTTCTTGGACGCCAGGGGCCAGATCCCGCCTTCGAGCTTCCGCCACCGGTGCACGTTCATCGGGTTCTCCAGCTCCTTGCCGAAGTCGCGCTCCAGGCGCTGAGGGTACCCTAAACCCTAAACCCTTAAACCCTGAACCCTAAACCCTAAACCCTTTCTCCTGCAATCCCCAAATCCCAAACCTGAAACCCCAAACCCTAAACCCCAAACCCCAAACCCCAAACCCTAAACCCCAAACCCTAAACCCCAAACCCTAAACCCTAAACCCCAAACCCTAAACCCTAAACCCCAAACCCTAAACCCCAAACCGCAAACTCTAAACCCCAAACCCTAAAACCCCTCAACCCTAAATCCCCTAAACCCTAAACCTCTCTATCATGTGATAATTTAAACTTTAATGACCTTCGTGGTTCAAGGCCAAAAACTCGTGGTTCAAGGCCAAAAACTCGTGGTTTAAGGCAAGTCGTCGTTTTTGGCCTTGAACCACGAGTTTTTGGCCTTGAACCACCAATGTTTGGCCCCAATCGTTCGTGGCTCAAGGCCAAAAACTCGCGGTTCAAGGCCAAAAATTCGTGGTTCAAGGCCAAAAACTCGTGGTTCAAGGCCAAAAACTCGTGGTTCAAGGCCAAAAATTCGCGGTTCAAGGCCAAAAACTCGTGGTTCAAGGCCAAAAACTCATGGTTCAAGGCAAGGCTTAGGGTTTCAGGGCCTCAAGGCCTGGAGCTTAGGGTTTCAGGGCCTCAAGGCCTGGAGCTTAGGTTTTCAGGGCCGCGTTTAGGGTTCAGGGCCTCAAGGCCTGGCGTTTAGCCTCAAGGCCTGGTGTTTAGGGTTTCAGGGCCTCAACGCGGTTTAGGGTTTCGGGGTCTCAAGGCCTGCAAATTTAGGGTTTCTGCTGAACCCCCAACCCTAAACCCCAAACCCTAAACCCCAAACCCTAAACCCTAAACCCCCTAAACCCCAAACCCTAAACCCTAAACCCCAAACCCTAAACCCTGAACCCCAAACCACTAAACCCTTAACCCTAAACGCTAAACCCCAGACCCCAAACCGCTAACCCGAAACCCTACACCCTAAACCCCCCCAACCCCAAACCCTAAACCCCAAACCACTAAACCCCTAACACTAAACCCTAAACCCCAGACCCCAAACTCTAAACCCTAAACCCCAAACCCTAAACCCCCTCAACCCTAAATCCCCTAAACCCTAAACCCTGAACCCTAAACCCCAAACCCTAAACCCTAAACCCCAAAACCTAAGCCTCCAAACCCTAAACCCTGAATATGGCCCTTCTCCCACAATCCGCAAAGCCCAAACCCCAATCCCGAAACCCCAAACCCTAAACCCTAAACCCCAAACCCTAAACCTCCTAAACCCTAAACCCCAAACCCTAAACCCTAAACCCCCTAAACCCGAAACCCTGAATCTTGAGCCCAGAGTGTCCTCGGACAAGGCTTTGACCTGCACTCGGGGTGTACTGGGAAAGCCCGGTCTTCGCGTTTAGGATTTAGGGTTTCCGGTTTAGGGTTTCGGGTTCAGGGTTTGGCGTTTCGGTTTAGGGTTTGGGGTTTAGGGTTTGGGGTTTCGGGTTTCGGGTTTGGGTTTGCAGGATTTGGGGCTTCGGCGGCGAGGATTTCTACAAGTTCCTATACCACCTCGACCTCAACAAGGGTTTAGGATTTAGGGGTTTGGTTTAGGGTTTAGGGCTTGGGGCTTCGGGTTTAGGATTAGGGTTTAGGGTGTAGGGTTTAGGATTAGTGTTTAGGGCAATTTCAAGCCCAATTGCCCAAATCAGGTGTTTTCCAAGGGCTACTCGGGCCTCGGGGGTGGTTAAGATGGGGCATCTAGTATACGATCCCGCAAGATTCAGGCTGCGGGCTTTCGGGGCTCAGAAGTTTGGGTGTCGCATAGATGGTAAAGAACCGATTCCAAAACCCCAAACCCCCCACCAACCTGCCTCCGAACAAGAACAACCCGAAGCACCCTGAAGTAAACCCCGAAACTCCAAACCTTACCCCTCAGCGCCAACCCCCAAACCCTAAACCCCAAACCCCAAACACCAAACCCTAAACCTAAACCCTAAACCCTAAACCCCAAACCCTAAACCCTAAACCCTAAACCTAAACCCATAAACCCTAAACCCCCAAACCCTAAACAGGGAAGCCTTGGTGCGCTCCTGGAGGAGTTCCCTCTGTAGCTGGAACACCTCCACAGGAAAGCCTAAAACTCGGGAGGGTTTAGGGTTTAGGGTTTAGGGTTTAGGCTTTAGGGTTTAGGGTTTAGGGTTTAGGCTTTAGGAATTAGGGTTTAGGGTTTAGGGTTTAGGGTTTAGGGTTTAGGGTTTAGGGTTTGGGATTTAGGATTCACCCCCCCCCCCCCCCGGCCAAGCACCTCAAGCACCCCAAGCACCTCAAGCACCCCAAGCACCCCAAGAGGGTTTTAGGGTTTAGGGTTTAGGGTTTAGGGCCTTAGGGCCTTAGGGCCTTAGGGCCTTAGGGCCTTAGGGCCTTAGGGCCTTAGGGCCTTAGGGCCTTAGGGCCTTAGGGCTTAGGGTTTACGAAACCCTAGGCCGCTACCACCCCTCTCGGGAGAGGAACTTCGGGATCCTCCAATCAGACGGGCACCTAGCAAAAAATTGAATCTTAGCTGTTTCTTAGGGATAATCGCACCCAAAAATAACAATCATTCGCAGGCATCCCTAAGAGAAAAGAGGCCAGTGCTTCCAAGCACCCGAACTTGTGGCCATCTCCAAGTTTGGGTTAGCTGTAGAGCTGGGGGGTTCTATCAAGGAACCACGTACCGGGCCGAACCCTAAACCCTAAACCCTAAACCCTAAACCCGGACAGGGGTCCCGAGTCAGCACCAACTACGCCACTCTCAACCCGTGTCGCGACGTCAGCCCAGGGCTCAAAGGGTTTAGGGTTTAGGGTTTAGGGTTTAGGGTTTAGGGTTTAGGGTTTAGGGTTTAGGGTTTAGGGTTTAGGGTTTAGGGTTTAGGGTTTAGGGTTTAGGTTAGGGTTTAGGGTTTAGGGTTTAGGGTTTAGGGTTTAGGGTTTAGGGTTTAGGGTTTAGGGTTTAGGGTTTAGGGTTTAGGGTTTATATAGGGTTTGAAAGTCCACAGCCCTTGCCCTCCAGAACACTGCAGGCACGCCTGCCGCTTGAGGTCGTCGATGTTCAACACCTGGCCCGGGAAGGATCCCACAAGCTTTGCTAAACTGGGGGTGTGGTTCCTGTGGGCCCTAAACCCTAAACCCTAAACCGCCTACACCCTAAACCCTAAACCCTAAACCCTAAGCCCCTAAACCCTAAACCCTAAACCCTAAACCCCCCAGGAAATCGGCCTGCTGCTTCCCGATGTGGAGCTCGCGCTTCAGCTGCGCCTCCTTGACGCCCAGGGCCCTGGCCTCCTGGTTTGGGGTTTAGGGTTTGGGGTTTCGGGTTTAGGGTTTGGGGTTTAGGGTTTGGGGTTTAGGGTTTAGGGTTTAGGGTTTAGGGTCTAGGGTTTAGGGTTTAGGGTTTAGGGTCTAGGGTTTAGGGTTTAGGGCTTTTTGGATTTTGGGCTTGAGGGTTTAAGGGGCTAAAACCAAACTCCCTGGATAGGCGGGCCCAAACGAAATCCGCGCCAAAACGGCAACATCCCAAGCCTGCATCTCGCGAGCCAAATCGAGGCCATCAACGAAACCACGAGCCCCTCCCCCCCCCCCCCAAACCCTCTCCGAAGCCCGAAATCCTTCAACCCTAAACCCTAAACCCGAAATCATACTGCTCAGAAACCCTGGGTTCGCGGGTTGAAGAGGGAGTGGGGGATTTTGAGTCGGGGGTTTAGGGATTTTGAGTCGGGGGTTTAGGGCTTTAGGCGTCCGGGGTTTTGGGGGCTTCAGGGGCTGAAAGGCTTCGCGGCTTCAGAGGTTTAGGACCTGAGTTCGGGTTTCCCCTAAACCCTAAACCCTAAACCCTGAACCCTAAACCCTAAACCCTAAACCCTAAACCCTGAACCCCCACTCCTCTAGCCGCTGCTTGAAGGCTAGATCCCCGTTTTGGAGCGTCCGCTGCTGGATCCTGGCACGGAAGGGAAAACAGGGTTTAGGGATCAGGGTTTAGGGTTTAGGGTTCAGGGTTTAGGGTTTAGGGTTTAGGGTTTAGGGTTTAGGGTTTAGGGTTTAGGGTTTAGGGTTTCAGGGTTTAGGGCCCTCCAGACCTGCTGCAAGGCCCCCAACAACAGGCCCAGAAGCCCCCGCAAGACCACAGAAGCCCCGCAGGCCTTCCAAGAGCCAAGCCTACGCCCTAAACCCTAAACCCTAACCCTAAACCCTAAACCCTAAACCCTAAACAGCCTAAACACTGAACACCCTAAACCCTCAACACCCTAAACGCCCTAAACCAGCCTGCAGCTTCTGGCCCTGACAATCGAAACAAGTGCCTACACACTCAACACCCTAAACCCTAAACACCCCAAACACCCTAAACAGCCTAACTACCCTAACTACCCGAAACACCCTAAACACTCTGTATAAACCCGAAGCCCAGATGCCTACCTCTGGAGTAGACCCAGAAAAAAAAAAAGTACATACTTTTTAGGTAGAAGTAGCTATAATGGGAACCCAAAACCAAAAAAAGTATTAAAGTATAGTACTCCAAAGCCCAGGATGTGCGGGAAAGATGCTTTATCTTCTCATACTGCAGCGCGAGCTCGTCATTCCGGTGGATGAGCTGTGTACCGAGCCTGCTTAGCCCAGATTGGGCTAAGGGCTAAGGGGCGTGTTGACAAGAGAGCTACACACAAAGGGCCCCTGTCTGGGAGTCCCTTCGGCGCCAGGGGTTTTAGGGTTGAGGGTTTAGGGTTTAGGGTTTAGGCTTCAGGGTTTAGGGTTTAGGGTTTAGGGTGTCGGGTTTAGGGTTTAGGGTTTAGGGTTTAGGGTTTAGGGTTTAGGGTTTAGGGTTTAGGGTTTAGGGTTTAGGGTTTAGGGTTTAGGGTTCGCACTTGAGGCGCTTGGGGGCTTGAGGGTTTTGAGGGTTCTTTTGGGTTGCTGGGCCACACCTTCCCGAAAAAATCCCCGGGGCCCGGGCACGTCTCGCTCGCTGATGGTCTCCTCGTACTTCTTCTTCTGCTCTGGGCGGGCGGGAGGGGGTGCAGGATTTTGGGCTAAGGGGAGTTTAGGGGTTGAGGGTTTAGGGTTTTCAGGCTTAGGGTTTAGAATCTACACCTTAAAATTATCGTTTCCCGTTGCGGGCGTCGGGATGCATCTGCTTTAGGGAATGATGCCGCAAAGTCCTTCGTCTGCTTTCTGGAGAGCCCGAATTTGGGCGTCAAGCCTACAAAGGAATGCGCTTTCTGTATGCCCTCACCTGAAGCCCCCCTCCACCCCCCACCCCTTTGAGCACGCGCAAGCAACCTTGGCCTGCGAACGCACGGGCGAGTGTCTTGTAGCACACCAGTCGGGCATTTCCAGGGGTGATGGGGCCGGGGCGTTGCCGGGGTGGGGAGGGGGGTGGAGGTGGGGGCGGGGATTGCATCACTGCAACAGCACTCTTCCGAGCCAGGAACGCTTCCGTCTGTCCTCCTCTTCAAGGATCCTCGCTTCATGATCTCATGGCTGGCATGTAAAGGCTTACTTGGACTTCTTGAAAGAAGCCTCGAAGATATGTGTTCTTTGTGGTTACTTTGGTGTTGTTAAAGGTCTCCTTGTCCCAATCCCAATGTACACCATTGAAACTCACATTTTATCGGGCCCCCTCATACGGTTTAGGGAGCAGAAGGCATACAGCAGGGTAAGGTCTGAGGATGCAAAGAGAAGAAGTCTTTCTTCCAGATAGGCCGCAGTAGGTAAGGGCGGGCATAAAGTCACATTGCTTAAGTGTATGAACCTCGGGTTTGTGCGAAGGATTCGGGTTTGGGTGGGTTTTGGGGGTGAGGATGATAGATGTTCGTGGGAAATACAAGCAGGGTTGATAACTCGACTCATAGCTGGGTTCGTGATAACCCCACCCTAAACCCGTTTTTAAGTGGATTTGGGTGGGGGGGGGGGGCCCTCGAAAATGTGAACTCGGTGCTAGAGGGCTCTACGGGGATTCGGAGCCATGGAACTTAAAGCTATATTCCACAGCTAGACCCGAAGCCCTAAACCCAAAACCCTAAACCCCAAAACCCTAAAGCCTAAACCCTAACCCCTAACCCCGAAACCCTAAACTCATAGCTAATCAACCTCCAGTCGGATGCGCAAACCTTGGCATGGAAGGGTCGGGCTTCCGGTTCGAAAGTCTCAAGCTACCCGGTCAATCGTTTAGGGGTTTAGGGTTTAGGGCTTAGGGTTTGGGGTTTGGTTTAGGGTTTAGGGTTTAGGCTTTAGGGTTTAGGGTTTAGGCTTTAGGGTTTAGGGTTTAGGGTTTAGAGTTTAGGGCTTAGGGCTTAGGGCTTAGCTCCCTGAAAGCCCTCACAGCAGGGTCCTCGACTCAAGCTTCTTAATCTCCGCCTGCCGCAAGCGCAGGTGGGGGGGTGAGCGCGGGAGGGTGTAGCTGTAGTTGGGAAGGGGGAGAAGGGGGAGAAGGGGGAGAAGGGGGAGAAGGGGGAGAAGGGGGAGAAGGGGGAGAAGGGGGAGAAGGGGGAGAAGGGGGAGAAGGGGGAGAAGGGGGGGACCACCGTGATGTTGAGAGCTTAGTTTCCCAGATGAGGTTACAAACCAGCAACAAACAGAGCTGCCCCTAGGGCACACGCCCAGCTTTACTCATGACTCTCCGCCAGCCCCAATACGCTCGACATCAGGTCCTAAACCCGAAATCCTGAAGCCTGAACCCCTAAACCCCTAGATCCCTAAATCCCTAAACCTTAAACCCTAAACCCTAAACCCGAAACCCTAAACCCTAGACCTTAAACCCTCAAACCCTCAAACCCTACACCCCAACCTGAACCCGATAGCCCCGGAATGGCCTGAGCCCCATCGGTACCCTGTCAAAATCCTAGTAAGGGGTAAATGCAGGGGGGCGGCTTCACCCTAAACCCTAAACCCTAAACCCCAAACCCTAAAACCCCAAACCCTAACCCTAAACCCTAAAGCCCCAGATACCCTGCCAAGAACCTAAGTAAGGCCAGGGGTTTTGGAGTTGTCGGCTTCTTGGGCCCGCCAAACTTGGACTGCTGCGAGTCGAGGTGGTTTAGGGTTTAGGATTTAGGGTTTAGCGTTTAGGGTTCAGGATTTAGGGTTCAGGGTTCAGGGTTTAGGGTTTAGAGTTTAGGATTTAGGGCCTAAGGCTTAAGGCTTAGGGCTTGCTGGGGCTTATGGCTTTGGGCTTAGGGTGTGAGGGTTCGGGCTCTTGAAGAGCTGCCTGCTGAGTCTCCTTGTGGCTTTTCAGCGTCTGCTCCTTCCGCTTCGCCCTGCCACACTTTTAGGGTTTAGGGTTTGGGGTTTAGGGTTTAGGGTTTAGGGGGTAGGGTTTAGGGTTTAGGGTTTAGGGTTTAGGGTTTAGGGTTTAGGGTTTAGGGTTTAGGGTTTAGGGTTTATGTTTAGGGTTTAGGGTTTAGGGTTTAGGGTTTAGGGTTTAGGGTTTAGGGTTTAGGGTTTAGGGTTTAGGGTTTAGGGTTTTGGTTTTAGGGTTTGGGGTTTTAGAGGTGTAGGTTTTAGGTTTAGGGTTTAGGGTTTAGGGTTTTTTTTTTTTAGGGTTTTAGGTTTAGGTTTAGGGTTTAGGGTTTCGGTGTTTAGGGGTTTAGGGTTTAGGGTTTAGGGTTAGGGTTTAGGGTTTACGGTTTTAGGGTTTAGGGTTTAGGGTTTTAGGGTTTTAGGGTTTAGGGTTAGGGTTATAGGGTTGGGTTTAGGGTTTAGCGTTTAGGGTTTAGCGGTTAGGGTTTAGGGTTTAGGGTTTAGGGTTTAGGGTTTAGGGTTTAGGGTTTAGGGTTTAGGGTTTAGGGTTTAGGGTTTAGGGTTTAGGGTTTAGGGACCCATCCCGGCTTAGGGGAAAGGTTGAGGGCAACAGGGCGACAGAAGGGTATAGGGCTCAGGGTTCAGGGCTTGGGGGACAGGAATTGGGATTTAGGAGTTTGAGGGCTAGTTTAGGTTTAGGGCAGTCGGGTTCATAGGACTAAAGGTGCCGGGGTCAAAGGTTGAGGCTTCCTGCTCGAAAATGAGGAGTTGCATTTCAGACGCAGAAAGATTGAAATCCGGAAAACTATCCTCAGCCCGAAGTTTCACAAAGAAAAAAAAACCTAATTTCTTTTGAGAGTGGCAGCTTGTGGCCCGAAGTTGCCCAGGCTTTGCTTAGGGTTGAGGGCTTGGGAGACCAGAGAACGTCGGAAGCTGTCAGCCTGCCTGACAGCACACCAAATAGAAACAACAAAAAAGCACAGAGGAGAATCCCAAAACCCTGCAAATGCAAACCCTCAACCCAACCCGCCTTTGCCCATAAGGTCAGTTCTCTAAGCTCTGGTCCCTTTCCGGCTCCCCGTCACATTACGGAGGTCCCCCAAAAAAGGGGCCATCCTTGAGAGAACTGCCCATCTCCCCCCTCTTCCACCTCTCAAAACAATTCTGACGATGGCTTCACCCCACCCCCACCCTTGAGACCAAAACGCTCCGCCTCTCCATCTGGTCTTTGAAAAACTCGCACCTGAGAGGCAGGCTTACTGCCACAACGTAGAGGGTCTGGGAGTCTAGGAGTTGTTCAAGCTTAGGCTGCAGTGGTCAACTCAAGCAGCCGTGGTGCCACGGGCTGAGGCAGCAGAACCTCCGAAAGAACCGAACGACCAGCCAGTTGTAGGTTCTAGACGCGGCGAGTGCCACAAACCTTTGGGCCATCCGCTCGCAGATCCCAAAACCCGTCATCTAACCCCCACACTGCAAACCCGCAGGCCCAAAACCTTTCCATGCCCCAAATGCCTGAGCAGTCCTGCGGCAAAAACGCACTCAACCCTCAACCCCGAACCCCAGAAGCCACAAACAGTGACACCCCCCGAACACCTCAACTCTAAACCTAAGCTCTAAACCCTAAGACACCAAAGCCTGACACGTTCCATCTTACGCTTGGAAGTTCAAGGGCCGGCCCTCGAACCCTAAACCCGAAACCCTAAACCCTAAACCCGAAACCCTAAACCCTAAACCCGAAGATGCACCCAACACACACTCAGTGAGCCGGGATCCTGGCTCTTTCTGCATGCGGTTGTGCGCATGGTGGCCCTTGGCAGGAATTCGAAACTTAGGGTTCAGGGTTTTAGGGTTTTAGGGTTTGGGGTTTAGGGTTTAGGGTTTAGGGTTTAGGGTTTAGGGTTTAGGGTTTAGGGTTTAGGGTTTAGGGTTTAGGGTTTAGGGTTTAGGGTTCTTTTTCCTTGGGTTTAGGGTTTAGGGTTTAGGGTTTAGGGTTTAGGGTTTAGGGTTTAGGGTTTAGGGTTTAGGGTTTAGGGTTTAGGGTTTAGGGTTTAGGGTTTAGGGTTTAGGTTAGGGTTTAGGGTTTAGGGTTTAGGGTTTAGGGTTTAGGGTTTAGGGTTTAGGGTTTAGGGTTTAGGGTTTAGGGTTTAGGGTTTAGGGTTTAGGGTTTAGGGTTTAGGGTTTAGGGTTTAGGGTTTAGGGTTTAGGGTTTAGGAAGGTTTTAGGGGTCTAGGATTTAGGTTGAAGCCAGAGGGTTCTAGGTTGGGGGGTTCTCAAGTTTAGCGTTTAGGGTTTAGGGTTTAGGCTGAGGGTTCGTGTTTTGTGGCTGTTCCATGGAAGCTTTGTGGCCAATCAAGCACTTACGACAAAGACCTCCCGAACCCTAAGCCCTCAAAATAGAACCAACCCCTTGCTGGGTTTGTGAAGCTGAATGCAAAACATCCTGGCACTGAGAGACGCTGCCTCTTGGGGGGTTTAGGGATTTTAGCGTTCCGGGGTCCAAGGGGTTAGGATTCCGTGCTGAAACCTTAGGGTTTAGGGGTTTAGGGTCTGATCCACCAAAGGTCAGGGGCTGAAGCAAGGCGCTCAAATAGTTCGAGCCGATGGCTTCCAAAACCCTAAACCCACAGCCCTAAACCCTAAACCCTAAACCCTAAACCCTAAACCCTAAACCCTAAACCCTAAACCCTACCTGTTCCTGCAACTTCAATTACCAGGCAAGCACGCGTGGATTCTCCGGGCCCGCCAACCCGCTTGAGTCGCTCCTCCTTCTCTTTGATCTCCTGGGTTCCGTTAGGGTTTAGGGTTTAGGGTTTGGGGTTTAGGGTTTAGGGTTTAGGGTTTAGGGTTTGGGGTTTGGGGTTTAGGGTTTAGGGTTTTGGGTTTAGGGTTTCGGGCTTAGGGTTTAGGGTTTGGGGCTTAGGGTTTAGGGTTTGGGGCTTAGGGGTTTTAGGGCCTAGGGTCTAGGGTGTAGGGTTTTGGGGCTCTAAGTATCCCAAACATATCCTCCCATCAACCTGAGAGAGTTGCGCACCTGCTCCCTGAACCCTGAACCCTCAACTCCCCCCACCCGATGTAAGACCCTAAACCCTAAACCCTAAACCCTAAACCCTAAACCCTAAACGCTAAACCCTAAACCCTAAACCCCCTTCGTGAAGGTCCTCTTTCAACTGCTCGATCTGGTGCGACATGATCTTGAACTTTCGCTTCATCTCGGCAATCTCATCCTCAGCTCTTCGTGAGCACATCGCGAGCAATGTAGGAGTGGTACTTGTTACCCCTACGTTTGACAACACTCCCCCAAGCCTGCAGCGTACAAGCACTCCCTACGAAGATTCAGTACAGGTTGATTGCCTATTTGGATTCAACACTAGGGTTCTCAAGGTTTTGACATTACAACCCCGAAGAGCCCTGTATAAAAACCCCGAAGAACCCAAAATTGAAGGCAGGTGCCTAGGAATTTCTGGAAACCGCGGTTTGGAGGGAAACACGGAAAACAACAAGAGACCGGGTGGGTAGTTTCGTAGCTTCTCTTAGTTAGGCTCATTATCAGGGCGCCATATTTATAGATAGGGTACAGGTACCCAACAGGGACCCGGGCATTTCCCCAAGTAGGGATGCCCCGAATACATACCCCAAAAATAGTGTCATCCTTATTCTCGGAACCCCCCAAAAAAGGTACGAGTACCCCCTCTTTTCGCAAAACGCCATTGAGAGAAGGCGCCTGCGATTCGACCAGCTTCTTCGAGTAAAGGTTGCGGTCTGTGCGCACCGCCTCTCGGAACCAAGGGTTTGGGGTTTAGGGTTTAGGGTTTAGGGTTTAGGGTTTAGGGTTTAGGGTTTAGGGTTTAGGGTTTAGGGTTTGGGGTTTGGGGTTTAGGGTTTAGGGTCTGCACGTCGGTCACGCCTGAACCCGTACAGCGGTTTGGGGTTGAGGGCTATGTAGGGTTGAGGGTTTAAGGTTTAGGGTTTAGGGCGTAGGGTTTAGGGTTTAGGGCTTAGGGTTTAGGGTTTATAGGTAAGGTTTAGGGTGTAGGGTTAGGGTTTGGGGTGCACCTAAACCCTAACCAAAGGCACTGGCTGTCGCTGGCCCTGTTGGTCCCGGTCTGTACATGTGGTTGGCAGGATTCTGTTGAGCAATGCAGAATAGACCAAGGCCATCCAACCCAACCAAAGCAGCCCGGCAGTGAAATTGTGTTACCCCTGATCTGGGGAACACCTCGCCCTTACCCCGACACAGCACACCCTAAACCCTAAAACCTAAACCCTAAACCCTGAACCCTGAACCCCTAACCCCCAACTCAACAAAAACAACTCCCAGCCCTCGCCTCGTAGAGCTGCTTTTGGTGGGACAGCTTTGCTTTGACCTCACGGTGAGCGCTGCGATCGGAGTTTCGGGTTTAGGGTTTTAGACTTCGGGCTTCGTGTCTAGGGACCCGATTTACCCCGTAAGCCCTAAAACCCTAAACCCCTACACCCACAACCCTCAACCCACCTTCTCAGACTCCTGAACTCTCAACCCGATAGCCCTCCAAATTCCTGAACCCTACGACCCCTAGCACTAAATCCTAACCATTAAACGTGCTGAACCCTTCAGCCCTCAATCCTATAACCCCAATAACCCTATAACCCCTCAACCCTAAACCCTGAGGCCTGAGACTTGAGTTGAAGGGCTTTACAGTAGGGGATAGGATTAGGGGACCCTTGGGGATATAGACCCTCTGAATAAGGTCCCTTGTTAAGAGAGCCAGAAGAGGGTTAAGAAGGGGTTCCCTTTTAAGGGTCCCCCTTATCCGACCTAGGATACAGAGCCCGAAACCTCAAATCCCAAGACCTCGGTCGCTGAGGTTTAGGGTTTGGGGTTTGGGGCTTAGGGTTTAGGGTTTAGGGTTTAGGGTTTAGGGTTCAGGGTTCAGGGTTCAGGGCTCGGGGCATCCATTTTGTTGCCTGAAGAAAGATCTATACGGTCCGACAAGGAACGTGCGCCAGGCTGACCGTGACTCTTGCCGCTGGCTGCGCAACACTCAGTCAGATCCTCTCGGCGGAGCCCGCAACACCTAAACCCTAAAACCCTAAACCCCGCCCTAAACCCTAAACCCTAAACCCTAAAAACCCTAAACGCCCAAACCCCGCAAGGGACGGACCGCTCATTTTTCGCATGCCTGGCCGCGCGAACACGGCCGTTTCAACGACTTCCTCTTCGAAGCAAAACTTTCCGGAGCCAGCTCTTGGAAAGCGCGTATAACCACAAGGGTTTTTGGGTCTAGGGTTTACGGCTTAGGGCGCCCTCACCCTAAACTCATACACCCTACACCCCGAGGGCGGTGGTCGGGTAAACCTTTAGGGGGCTTTGTGTCTCGGAGTTTGCCAGAGAGCTGCTGGAAGAACCTACACCCAAGTGCAAGGCTGCTTACACGGAGTCGCTGTTGGCAACGACTAAAAAGGCCTTCGACTGACTGCCTGCAGGCATGGGACGTTGAGTACAGGGCAAGCGAAGTTCTACCTGTAGTTTGCATATTTATTGTCTGTACATATGTACATAAAAATGGGGCTGATACCTTTAAACCTCTTCTGCTTTGTTTTTTCATACTCAATATTACAAACAAAGGCAAAAAGTTTGTCTAGAAGACAAAGACTAAGTGAGACGCATGCTTTGCCATGCTCAATTTGCCGGTGAATTATTGTAACTCTGGACTTGTCTGCGCGTTGCGCGAGCGCCAACAAAAGCAACTTGCACATGTTTTCAACCGCGGCGTGCTTGTCTATGGCACACACACACACACCAACAGTTCTCGTTTTTCCCTAAACCCTAAACCCTAAACCCTAAACCCTAAACCCTAAACCCTAAACCCTAAACCCTTCACCATTTGTTATCATTGTCTTTCATGTTGATGGTTGCTGTGTCCTGCTTGCTCATGCCTTCGACTGTCATTTTCGCGCGCATGCAGAACCTTCGCAGAAACGTAATCCTACACGTTAATTCTGCAAATTTCGCTTTGTGTGTTTTTGTATCAGTTGTTCACGTTGATGTTTTTGTGTGCTGCTTGCCCATGATTTCGACTGCAAGTTCGCTTGCGTGTAGAACATTCGCAGAAAAGGAACCCCTACACTTTGGCTGAACACTGTTCTTGTGTTTTTTTGTGTGCTGCTTCCCATGTTTCGACTGCCATTCGCTTGCACGTAGAATCTTCGCAGAAAAAATGTTTCTGTTCGACGGGTTTTTCATGATGTGTTTGCCTGCTGCTTGCCCATGTTTTCGAGTGCCACCCGCTTGCATGTAGAATATTCGCGGAAAAGCCCGAACACGTTGAAGCTGACAAATGTTCTCGTGCATTTGTGAATTTCTCACGTTGATGATTTTGCACGCAGCTTGCCTGTGTTTTCGACAGCCATTCGCTGGCATGTAGAATTGTCGCAAAGAAATCACCCCTGCACTTTGATTCTCCTTATTGTGTGTGTTTCCTGTGTCACGATTCTTCATGCTGCTGTGTTTCGCTTGCAGGTAGACTATTGGCCAGAAACATAATCCCTATACTTTAATTCTGAGAACTGTTGTGCTTCTCTGGTGACGATGTTCATGCTGACGTTTATTCATGCTCTTGTTTATACTCTTCACAAAAAAAACACACACAACACGCACCGTTCTAGGCTTGGCCGCGCACCATCGCGAAACGGATCCACTTCGGAATCCTTGCGACGCGATAAGGAACAAAATATCCTCCAAAGCCGTACCTAAACCCCTAATCCTAAACCCTAAACCCTAAACCCTAAACCCTAAAGCCTAAACCCTAAACCCTAAACCCCTAACCTACTTCTCCGAAGCCGGGGCTCCACGTTAGACGGGTTTGGGCTTTAGGGTTTTACGGGGTTGTTTAGGGTGGTATGATCGGGCATCTACTTCCCTGATTTCCGGTCAGGAACTTGTAAGATATTCCCGCCAATCCCGGCAAGGCTTCCTCTGCAGGCTATACGGCATGCTGAGTAGGAATTTACACTCCTCGTAGAGATTCTAATACAGGCTACCCAAAATATCCATTCTCAAGAGAATCAAGAGTCGTACAAGTAAGGTTGTACCCTGAAGAGGTTCCCCCAATATTCTGCAAGACAATCAGTGAAACAAATCTTTGTTTGAGTTGATATTTTAGGGTGTAGAAGTAGTGCGAAGTAGGGTTGACAAGCTTTCGAGCAGAAAAACTGAGGTACATACGTAGGGTCTAGGGACTTTCGTCAGCCCTGTCCCAGGGACGCCCCTTCTGCTGCAGGAATGCAGAAGGCATTGACTGTGCTTTCGGAGGCAAGGGTGCTTCGTGTAGGGCTTCTGCACTGGGTTGGGTTCCAGGGTTTAGGGTCTAGGGTTTAGGTTTTAGGGTTTAGGGTTTAGGGTTTAGGGTTTAGGGTGTAGGGGTTAGGGTTTAGTGCTACAACCTCTGCTCAACCAATCTTATACCGAATGTTTTCGGCTTTGCATGTATATATTTCTGCAGGGATTCTACTGCGTTTAGGGGGTTGGGGTCTGGAATTGAAGTTGATGTTGCCCCGGCCAACCGAAAGGCACACCAGCAATGGCTGAAAAGGAGGCTTGTTCAAAGTCAAGATCCACCAGGGCTGCAAGGTCTGGGCCGTCTGGGCTTAGGGTTTTGGTTTCAGGGTTCATGGGTACAAGTAGGGTGTGAACGATAGCTTCGTGGTTTCGGTGGATCTAAACCCTAAACTGACTAGAAGCCCGCGACCGGGCCGTGCTATCCAGTTGGACGCATGAGGCGGGCTGAACGTCCCACTGTCACAGTGATGCATTCATCACCGGAAGCTGTCGGCGGGGAGACTGGACAGGATCCGGGTGCTTGAGATTCAGGGTTTCGGGCTTAGGCACGATAATGTGCACCCTCATCCGAGATGGACCCGGCACCCCCCGTGGTACGCAAACGGTTCGTCTGCGATCGATGTAAAGCTTGACGTACCGTACCCCATGCCACGCATGGATATTGGCAGTAGAGGTGGAGGACACAGCCCTTCGCCTTTCCTCCAGGGCTGGCAGACGTCCGTGCATGCAACCCTAAACCATCCCAACTTTTTAGGGTTTAGGTTTAGGGTTTAGGGTCTAGGGCTTAGGGTTTAGGGCTTAGGGTTTTCATTTTAGGGTTCAGGGCTTAGCGTCCTTGTCACTCTCGCTCCGATAAAGATCTTGCCGCTGCCAAGGCCCCGACGTCCCACTCTTACTTGGAGGCTCATGGGTAGCTGCTCGGTTTAGGGTTCAGGGTTCAGGGTTTAGGGTTTAGGGTTAAGGGTTAAGGGTTAAGGGTTTAGGGTTGAGGGTTTAGGGTTTAGGGTTTAGGGCTTAGGGCTTGCATCAGGGTGGCTGCTGACACGGCCGCCCCATCCCTCTGTGGTCAAAACATGGCGCTCCCTCTGGAGCTGTAAACGCAGGAAGGCATCGCGGTGAGGAGACTCTCGGTTTAGGGTTGAGGGTTTAGGGTTTAGGGTTTAGGGTTTAGGGTTTAGGGTTTAGGGTTTAGGGTTTAGGGTTTAGGGTTTAGGGTTTAGGGTTGAGGGTTTAGAGTTTAGGGTTTAGGGGTTTGGGGTTTGGGGTTGCGGGCTTTAGGGCCCCAAATTCCAAAGCCCAAAACCCTCAATCCCAAACTCTCTAACCTTCCCCTCTCAAACCCTAAACCCTATGCCTAAACCCTAAACTGTAGGGCTTCTGCTTCCTCTTTGGAAGGCCGTGGTGGGACCCTTGGGGTTTAGGGGTTTAGGGGTTTGGGGTTTAGGGTTTAGGGTTTAGGGTTTGCTGTAGTAGTACAAGCTGCAAATGTGACGGTTTCCAGTAGAGCCTTGAAGGCATCGAGCAATGCGAAGGGCGGCCATGGCCCGATCGTGGAGGGCCACCCTATAACACCTCTCCCACCCCACGCCGTCTCAGGCGGCAAAACCACCCAAACCTATTGCGTTTAGGGTTTAAACTCAAGCCAACCGCCCTCTTCCAAAATTTCTTCCGTTCTTGCAGGTAGGGTTTAGGGTTTAGGGTTGAGGGTTTAGGGTTTAGGGTTTAGGGTTTCGGGTTTCGGGTTTCGGGTTTAGGGGTTAGGGTTTAGGGTTTAGGGTTTAAGGTTTAGGGTATAGGGTTTAGGGTTTAGGGTTTAGGGTTTAGGGTTTAGGGTTTAGGGTTTAGGGTTTGGGGTTTCGGGTTTAGGGTTCAGGGTTTAGGGTTTAGGGTGTCTCGCCGCGCAGCAGCAGTAAGTACCATGTGTAAATGGCGCCCCAACACACCCAGGGGGTGTGGGGGGTGCGGCATGTCACGCGAAGGCACTTGTTTTCAATGTTGCCCAAACAATTTCATTGGTGCTGGGTTCTTTCTCCCCACCCGCTGTGAGCTTTCACAGGCCACCACCCAAACCACTGCCTTTTAGGGTTTAGGGCTGTCGCCCTCAATTCCAACCATTGCTTCAAACTGGCGGCTCAGAAGGGCCAGATGGGGGGCCAGAGCCAGGGGTCAGCGGGGGCCAGCCAGGGGGTCAGAGCAGAGCTGGAGGCAGACAGCCGACGTCCAGGGGGTCGCGGGAAGGCCAGGGGGGGCTCCCTGGCGGACCACGTTGTAGGGCGTTTGGGTCAAAAAAGTATCAGAGTACTCCTGTGGCTGGGTGCACAGCGTCAGCTGGCCAGGGGCGGGGCGAGCCCTAGGGGCTCTCTATTCGACCACTCTCCAATGGCTCTAGTATTTAGGGTTTAGGGTTTAGGATTTAGGGGGCGGTTTGGGGGGCGAGGGGGTTCGCGGGTTGTAGGGGGCTTAACGATTAGGGTGATAGGGGTTTGGGGTAATGGAGTTTAGGGTTCAGGGGAACCCCAAACCCTGTTTGCTCTATCTTCTGGGAGCTTAGGTGTCTCTCTTGCCGAGCCCTCTCGCTTCAAACGCGCACCGCCTTGCTGAACCAAAATCTCTTCGGTGCTTGGGGTCATGGCCCAAAAACAGCTCGACTGCAGCGGGGTTGCTTCAGCCAGAGGATGTCGTCCAGCAAAATTCTCGATTCGAGTCAGGGCTACGGTTTAGGGTTCAGGGTTTAGCGTTTGCGGTTCAGGAATCGGGGTTGAGGGTTCAGGGCTTAGAGTGTTCGGTTTTAGGGTTGAGGGTTTAGGGTTTAGGGTTAGGGTTTAGGGTTTAGGGTTTAGGGTTTCGGGTTTAGGGCTCAGGGTTTAGGCTCCTGAGGGTTATTAAGTTTGAAGGCTTGGGCCCGGAAGTCTCAGGCACTCGGCTCAGGGCTTAGGGTTTTAGCCCGGCTTGGCTTTAGGGTTTCGGGTTTCGGGTTTCGGGTTTCGGGTTTCGGGTTTCGGGTTTCGGGTTTCGGGTTTAGGGTTTAGGGTTTAGGGTTTGGTGCTAAACCCAAAACGTCTTCACCCAATCCATCGGCTGAACCCACGCTTTCTCCCATCACGCAGTCGTTGCGCTAGACTTCTGTTTCCCAGCGGGGACCCTCACAGCTCCCAATGGTGGTGCGCTGGCTTTTCGCGAAATTTTTTGAAGGGGGTTTAGGGTTTAGGGTTTAGCGTTTAGGGTTCCGGGGAGGTTAGAGCATAGGGTTTAGGGTTTAGAGTTGTTGGGGGAGGTTGTAGGTTGCCCAGTCTCCAACGTCCCTTCGCTAAGGAATGCTCGCGAAACTCTTTTCGGATAGCCCTAAACCCTAAACCCCAAACCCCAAAACCCTGAACCCTGAACCCTAAACCCCTGCGAGAACTTACAGCAGGTTCCTTAACAGGGTTTAGGGTTTAGGGTTTAGGGTTTAGGGTTTAGGGTTTAGGGTTTAGGGTTTAGGGTTTAGGGTTTAGGGTTTAGGGTTTAGGGTTTAGGGTTTAGGGTTTAGGGTTTGCTCAAGTTCGCCATACCACGGCCGGAGGGATCCTCACGCCCGCAAACCGAGGGGCCGATCCCGAGACGAGCCGTCGGCTCTGACTTCTGCGAAGTAGCCGGGTTTGGGGTTTAGGGTTTAGGGTTTGGGGATTAGGGTTTAGGGTTTAGGGTTTAGGGTTTAGGGCTTAGGGTTTGTCATTGCTCGGGTTGAGGGCTTAGGGTTCAGAGTCTAAAGTCTGGGGCTCAGGCTTTGGGTTGGTTCGGGTTGAAGGCAGCAGGGCAAGCCTGTAACCCGAAAAACCCCTGAACACCTTGAAAACCAGATAAGCACCAGCAACTCTACAACCCTTGGAGGCCCCCTAAAACATCATTCAGACCCGAAACCCGAAACCCAAGCCTATAGTGGACACATAATGACAGCAACCAAAGCACAGTAGTTCTCGATGGGGGTTCGGGTCTTGGGCTTGGGGTGTAGGACTTGAGTGGACTGACGATGGCGTTGACCTGCGCAGCCCAGGGGCTTCCCCCCCTAGACTCTAGGGTTAGACGGCCCCCTTCGCGATAGACTCGTAACTGCGCCTGTTACTGGGTTGAGGTATTCATCGGGCCCCTTCTATGCCCCAAAACAAACGGTGGCAGTCTGAACCTATAACCCTACAAACTCAGAAATGCACCTGTGAACCCCAAAATTAACCAACTCTGGGCGAACAGCGGCTTCGGTTTGCGGCCGGGCCTTCTCAGAAAGACCGGCTCATGTCATGTGCCAACTCGCGCGGGCGTCGAAATGGCTAACCTTTCTTCTCCCCACGTGTGACAAACTCCCGAAGAGCTGAACCTTAAACCTAAACCCTAAACCCTAAACCCCAAACCTTTGAATTCAGCTTCAGTCCCCTGAAGCGACTGTCTTTCTGATGCCAATGAGGGTTGTAGGGGATAGGTTTTGTTTTCCTCAACCCCTAACCCTGAACCCTAAACCCTAAACCCTAAACCCTACACCCAATTCCAGGTTTGCACCCGTTGGGATAAGAATCGAGGACGCCGGATGCAAAAAGGTCCGTGCTCCTCTGAAAAGCACCGCGCGATAGGTAGGAAGACTCTCTTTGAGGCGGGCTTGCAGAAACCCCTACATAGAAACTGGCTAGAGGAGGTCCTTCGCAGGAAGCCTAACTGGAAAAGATCTTTGGGGAAACAGGTGCTCGCTACGTCTGAACATCCGGCGAGAAGCAGGTCTTCACGGATCTAAGATATGCCGGATTAGACGCCTGAGTTCCTGAATCGATAACAACAGCAACAAGGTGGGAAGTCAAAAGGGAGTCCTTTGTCTGTTTAATCTGCTTGATTACGGGAACCTAACCCCCTGCGAGAAAGTTGGGATGTTCCCCCTTATGCTACCTGTGATGAATAGGTATTTCAGTACCCCCTATTATAATCCTTATTAAGGACTGTCATTATAAAGGGAATTTAGGTACTGCCAAGATCATAAATACAGAGGCGAGATCCTCCTAGCAGCATGCAAAAATTTCGGTCAAGGCGGGCGCGGCGCAAGGGTGCCAAACTGAACCCTGAACCCTGAACCCTAAACCCTAAACCCTAAACCCTAAACCCCAAACCCTAAACCCTAAACCCTAAACGTAGGGTTCAGGGCGTAACACAAACTCGCTCGACTGTGGCACCCGTTTGGCGTACGCTTTTTATGGACTCTAGAGGGCCTTAAGCCTTAATCGGTTTAGGGTTTAGGGTTTAGGGTTTAGGGTTTAGGATTTAGGATTTAGGGTTTAGGGGAGGGACCCCTAGAAGGGACCCTTCATCTTATTCCGCTATATAACCCATATATAACCCCTCTATTCACCTTATGCAGTCCCCGCATGCCTAAGGTCCCCTTATAAGGGTCCCCCCCTTGAGTCTTGGCAAACCCTGTAGTCCCTACAAACCCTAAGGATGTATCCCATTCCACTAGAAAAGCGTCGGGGCAACTGGTTACAACCTTCGGAGTGCGAGTTTGGCTCCCTTGACTTCGGGGGCTTAGGGTTGAAGGTTTAGGGTTCAGGTTTAGGGTTTAGCGTTTGGGGTTTGCGGTTTAGGCTTTAGGGTTTGGGGTTGAGCCCTTTAAACCGCAAACCCCTCCCCTAACCGCAAGAACGACTGGTAGCAGGGAAGCAAAACGGGGACAAGAACTCCAAACCTCAAAGAAAGCGAAAACTTTAAGGGCTTCCTCGGGTCCAGGGTTTAGGGTGTAGGGTTTAGGGTTTAGGGTTTAGAGTTTAGGGTTTAGGGTTTAGGGTGTAGGGTGTAGGGTGTGGGGTTTAGGGTTTAGGGTTTAGGTTTTATTTTAGGGTGTAGGGTTCAGGGTTTAGGGTTTAGGGTTTACGGTTTAGGGTTTAGGGTTTAGGGTTTATCGTTTTTTTGGTTTGGGGCTTGCAGGACAGTCATTGGGGGCTTAGGGGGGGGTAGAGGGGGGTTGGAGGTACGGTGTTTCGGCCGAGGCTCTCTTCAAAGCCCGTGGCAGTTGGCAGTTGAGGATTTCGGGTTTCGGGTTTAGGGCTTAGCGTTTGGGGTTTAGGGTTTAGGGTTTAGGGTTTAGGGTTTAGGGTTTAGGGTTTAGGGTTTAGGGTTTAGGGTTTAGGGTTTAGGGTTGGGTATAGGGTATGGGGTTTAGGGTTTAGGGTTTAGGGTTTAGGGTTTAGGGTTTAGGGTCTAGGGTCTAGGGTCTAGGGTCTAGGGTCTAGGGTTTAGGGTTAGGCCGAAGTTCTTTGAGTTCCGGCCGGCGCCCGCCTTACTTAAGAAATGCAGGAACCAAGAGCTAGGCTCACGTAGCTGCCCCGCCTCGGGGTTCAGGCCCTAAACCCCAAACCCTGAACCCTGAACCTGGAACCCTAAACCCTAAACCCGAAACCCTAAACCCTAGACCCTAACGGCAACAGGGTTCATGGTTTAGGGTTCAACGACTGGGTCTTGGGGCTTGGGGTGTAGGGATTGGGTTTGAGGGTTGAGGGCTTAGGCCCCTTCAGCGCGAATCGCGGTCTTTGAGCTTAGTGATGCATACCCTCAAAAACTACGTACTTGTGACCTCCCAAGTAACCCTGTATCCTGAAACCGAAACCGACACCCCTAAACCCGACTTGTAGTCCACCCTAAACCCTGAACCCTAAACTCTAACCCACTTCTAGCTAGGTGAACCTCCATCTGGGCCAAGAGTCTCGCAAGTCTCAGGTGAACAGCACCCGCGAGATCAGGCCCAACAGGCCGGACAGCCTTGCTACAGCCAGTGACTTAGGGTTTAGGGGTTTAGGCTTTGGGGGTTTAGGGGTTTAGGGGTTTAGGGGTTTAGGGGCTTAGGGGTTTAGGGGTTTAGGGGCTTAGGGGCTTAGGGGCTTAGGGGTTTAGGGGTTTAGCGGTTTAGGGGTTTAGGGGTTTAGGGGTTTAGGGGTTTAGGGTTTAGGCTTTAGGACTTAGGGTTTAGGGTTTAGGGTTTAGGGTTAGGGGTTGAGGGGTTGAGGTGTTTAGGGGTTTAGGGGTTTAGGGGTTTAGGGGTTTAGGGGTTTAGGGGTTTAGGGGTTTAGGGGTTTAGGGGTTTAGGATGGCTCAGTAAAGAAGCCAAACGATGTGTAGGGCCGAGCTCCGTGTGTATGTCACAACGTGAACCGTGCGTTGAGGGTTGAGAGCTCTTGCTTCGTGGTTTCGGCTCGTTGGGCAACCCCGGAAGGGACCTTGCACGGTAAGCCTCTAATCCTGCGCTCCATATGGGCCTTTTTCCATGCGGAAGCGGAACGTGAAGGTCAGCATTAAGGTTTAGGGCAACTAGTCAGGGAGAGCACCAAAACGCCAAAGCACCTGCATTCACGAAGCCTTCAGACTAGAAATCTGACCCCCTCACGTACGGAGAAGCACAGCAGGCACCGCATGCCCTGCGCGCCTGCTTTGATGCTTGGAGGTTCAATGATTCATGGGTATGTACAAGTTTCGGGTTTAGGGTTTAGGGTTTAGGGTTTAGGGTTCAGGGTTGCAACTAGACCACGCTACCGGCTGCAACCGTAACTCCCGTGCTTCAAAGCTCACCGTTCTGACCATCCATGAACCTCCAAGCCAGTGCTTCTTGCCCAGGCACACCGTTCCGCAGATGTAGATTTGCTTGGCGAACATCTCCTGCAGCAACCCTAAACCCTAAACTCTAAACCTTCAACTTAAACCCTAAAACCCCTAAACCCCTAAACCCTAAACCCTAAATTGGCCCTAAATCCTGCTCAAGGTGGTCCTGGTCAGGGTTGGGGTTCCCAGGGTTGACGATTGTGTCGGGTTCCACCCTCCCTCCACAACCCTAAACCCTAAACCCTAAACCCTAAGCCCTAAACCCTAAACCCTAAGCCCTAAACCCTAAACCCTAAACCCTAAACCCTAAACCCGCCCGCGCCCTCTTGTGCGTGCTTTCGGGTCATGGCTGAGGTGTAGGATTTAGGGTTGAGGGTTTAAGGGCCCTTCTTTAGGGTTTAGGGTCCCTTCTTTCGGATTTAGGGTCCCTTCTTTAGGGTTTAGGGTTAGGGTTTAGGGTTTAGGGTTTAGGGTTTAGGGTTTAGGGTTTCGGGTTTAGGGTTTAGGGTTTAGGGCTTAGGGCTTGGGGCATGGCCGCAACGTGGGCTTGGTGCTCTTGAGCATTTGGGATGGGATCGTCAAGGTTGTGCTCTTCGGTTTGGGGGATCTGTTTACGGAGCCCACACAGTTTGCATGATACAGACGCAGATTGAGCTTTTGCGGAGTAAGCCCTAAACCCTAAACCCTGAACCCTGAAGCCTAAACCCTAAACCCTAAACCCTGAACCCTAAACCCTAAACCATAAACCCTATACCCTAAACCCTAAACCCTAAACCCTAAACTAAACTCTAAACCCTAAACCCTAAACCCTACACCCTACACCCTAACCCCTAACCCTAAACCCTAAACCCTAAACCCTGAACCCTAAACCCCAACTTAACTCTGCAAAGGCAACACCCAGCCTGTGTCAGCTGCACATTCTTGACATAAAAGCCAGCCGAACTGTCCTTCGGAGCATGGCTCCCTATGGAAAGGGTTTGGGGTTTGGGGTTTGGGGTTTGGGGTTTGGGGTTTGGGGTTTGGGGTTTGGGGTTTGGGGTTTGGGGTTTGGGGTTTGGGGTTTGGGGTTTGGGGTTTGGGGTTTGGGGCGCCGACCCTGGCGGCGTGTTGGATGGGAAAAGGAGGTGAAAACCTCCCTCTTTCCCTCCTTACCCCCCCAAAACGTGGGGGGGGGGGGGGGGGGGGGTGGGTGGCTTAAATAGGGTCTATTTGGAAGCTGAGACTCGGGTTTTTAGACTAACCAATGCGTCTCCACGAGAGTATTCTTGGAAGCTGAGAGTGGTGTTTTTGTGTGGTAGATACAAAGGAAAGGGCATAAGAAAGTAGCGAAAGGAGCTCCTCAATTCCCTTCCTTATCTCCTATGCTCTTTTCCTTATTCATTGCAACAGGAGAATTCAGGAAAAGGGCCTCCATTCTCCTCTTGTTCTTCCTTTCTTGTGTTTTTGTCATTTAAAGGGGAACAGGAGAAGAGAAGGGAAAGAGAAGGAGACAGGAGAGATAAAAGGAAGACAATTTTAATGGGAAGAGCCAAGAAAAGAATAGAAAAAGATGAACAAAGAAGATGGAGAGACAAAACAAGGCGCAAAGAAAATGGCACTCTTCTTTATCTATCCTCTCTCCCTTCTCTCTCCCTTCCCTCTTTCTTTTCGAAACAGAAAAACGAAAAAGGAAGAACTTGAAAAGGAGAAGGGTAAGGAAAAGAGCAGAAGAGACAGGCCGAAAAAAGGGATATGATGAAGTATGGGCAATGTCCACGCGCAAGGAGTCACCCTCTGCTTACCCTTCCACTGCTTTATCATACAAGTTCCTTTCTTGTGTTATATTAGTTAAAAGGTAACAGAAGGAGAGAAGGGCAAGGGAAGTGAGAGAGGAGAGACAACAAGGAGGCCATTTGAATTTTCTGGAGGGGTACTGAAAAGAAGAGAAGACACAATAAACAAGGAGACGGATAGCACTCTTCTTTATCTATCATCTCTCCCTTCCTTGTCTCTCGCTTTTCCCTCTATAATTAAAAAAATAGGTGCCCTCTCCCCTCTTCAGGAAGCCCCCTTGCCCTTATTTTGCTAGCTTTCTGAAACGACAAGGAAAACAACACATAGAAAGAGAGGAAAGGGAATGAAACAATAGGCAGTGGAGCTCTTCAGTGTCTTTACCTATCTCTTTTCTTCTTTTTCTTTTTCATTCAATAAGGAAAAGAAGCTTCCTTTGGTGTGATTTTGAGATTCAAAAGAGAACAAGAGAAGAGAAGGGAGAGAGAAAGGAGAGAGGAGAGATCAAAAGGAAACAATTTTCATGGGAAGAGCAATGACAATCATGGAAGAGAAATGAAGACAGGAGAGGGAGGTGCAAAATCAGGCAAAGAGAAGATGGTGCTCGTTTTCTTCTTTCCTCTCTTTCTTATCTTTCCCTTTCAAATAAAAACAAAAGGAAGAACAATGAACATGTAAAGGAACCCATTTTCTTTTTTCCGCTTGGGAACAAGGAAAAGAACAGAGGCGATAGGGCGAGAGGAGGGATTTGCTGCAGCGTGGGGAGGGTCTACGGACAAGGAGCCAACCCCGCTCACTTTCCCCATCCATTGGAAAAGAAAGGAACATGGCCTCCATTCCCCTCTTGTTCTTCCTTTCTTGCGTTTTTGTCATTTAAAGGGGAACAGGAGAAGAGAAGGGAGAGAGAAGGAGAGAGGAGAGACAAAAGGATTGCATTGTTAATGGGAAGAGCAAAGAAAAGAATAGAAGAGAGATGAATAGAGAAGAGGGAGAGACAAAACAAGGCGCAGAGAAGATGGCACTCACTCTTTATCTATCCTCTCTCTCTTCTCTCTCCCTTCCCTCTTTCTTTTCGAAACAGAAAAACTAAAAAGGAAGAACTTGAAAAGGAGAAGGGTAAGGAAAAGAGCACAAGAGACAGGCCGAAAAGAGGGATATGATGACGTATGGGCAAGGACCACGCGCAAGGAGTCACCCTCTGCTTACCCTTCCACTGCTTTATCATACAAGTTCCTTTCTTGTGTTATATTCGTTAAAAGGTAACAGAAGGAGAGAAGGGCAAGGGAAGTGAGAGAGGAGAGACAACAAGGAGGCCATTTGAATTTTCTGGAGGGGTACTGAAAAGAAGAGAAGACACAATAAACAAGGAGACGGATAGCACTCTTCTTTATCTATCATCTCTCCCTTCCTTGTCTCTCGCTTTTCCCTCTATAATTAAAAAAATAGGTGCCCTCTCTCCTCTTCAGGAAGCCCCCTTGCCCTTATTTTGCTAGCTTTCTGAAACGACAAGGAAAACAACACATAGAAAGAGAGGAAAGGGAATGAAACAATAGGCAGTGGAGCTCTTCAGTGTCTTTACCTATCTCTTTTCTTCTTTTTCTTTTTCATTCAATAAGGAAAAGAAGCTTCCTTTGGTGTGATTTTGAGATTTAAAAGAGAACAAGAGAAGAGAAGGGAGAGAGAAAGGAGAGAGGAGAGATCAAAAGGAAACAATTTTCATGGGAAGAGCAATGAAAATCATGGAAGAGAAATGAAGACAGGAGAGGGAGGTGCAAAATCAGGCAAAGAGAAGATGGTGCTCGTTTTCTTCTTTCCTCTCTTTCTTATCTTTCCCTTTCAAATAAAAAACAAAAGGAAGAACAATGAACATGTAAAGGAACCCATTTTCTTTTTTCCACTTGGGAACAAGGAAAAGAACAGAGGCGATAGGGCGAGAGGAGGGATTTGCTGCAGCGTGGGGAGGGTCTACGGACAAGGAGCCAACCCCGCTCACTTTCCCCATCCATTGGAAAAGAAAGGAACATGGCCTCCATTCCCTCTTGTTCTTCCTTTCTTGTGTTTTTGTCATTTGAAGGGGAACAGGAGAAGAGAAGGGAGAGAGAAGGAGACAGGAGAGATAAAAGGAAGACAATTTTAATGGGAAGAGCCAAGAAAAGAATAGAAGAGAGATGAACAAAGAAGATGGAGAGACAAAACAAGGCGCGAAGAAAATGGCACTCTTCTTTATCTATCCTCTCTCTCTTCTCTCTCCCTTCCCTCTTTCTTTTCGAAACAGAAAAACTAAAAAGGAAGAACTTGAAAAGGAGAAGGGTAAGGAAAAGAGCACAAGAGACAGGCCGAAAAGAGGGATATGATGACGTATGGGCAAGGTCCACGCGCAAGGAGTCACCCTCTGCTTACCCTTCCACTGCTTTATCATACAAGTTCCTTTCTTGTGTTATATTAGTTAAAAGGTAACAGAAGGAGAGAAGGGCAAGGGAAGTGAGAGAGGAGAGACAACAAGGAGGCCATTTGAATTTTCTGGAGGGGTACTGAAAAGAAGAGAAGACACAATAAACAAGGAGACGGATAGCACTCTTCTTTATCTATCATCTGTCCCTTCCTTGTCTCTCGCTTTTCCCTCTATAATTAAAAAATAGGTGCCCTCTCTCCTCTTCAGGAAGCCCCCTTGCCCTTATTTTGCTAGCTTTCTGAAACGACAAGGAAAACAACACATAGAAAGAGAGGAAAGGGAATGAAACAATAGGCAGTGGAGCTCTTCAGTGTCTTTACCTATCTCTTTTCTTCTTTTTCTTTTTCATTCAATAAGGAAAAGAAGCTTCCTTTGGTCCTTTGGTGTGATTTTGAGATTTAAAAGAGAACAAGAGAAGAGAAGGGAGAGAGAAAGGAGAGAGGAGAGATCAAAAGGAAACAATTTTCATGGGAAGAGCAATGATAATCATGGAAGAGAAATGAAGACAGGAGAGGGAGGTGCAAAATCAGGCAAAGAGAAGATGGTGCTCGTTTTCTTCTTTCCTCTCTTTCTTATCTTTCCCTTTCAAACAAAAAACAAAAGGAAGAACAATGAACATGTAAAGGAACCCATTTTCTTTTTCCGTTTGGGAACAAGGAAAAGAACAGAGGCGATAGGGCGAGAGGAGGGGATTTGCTGCAGCGTGGGGAGGGTCTACGGACAAGGAGCCAACCCCGCTCACTTTCCCCATCCATTGGAAAAGAAAGGAACATGGCCTCCATTCCCCTCTTGTTCTTCCTTTCTTGCGTTTTTGTCATTTAAAGGGGAACAGGAGAAGAGAAGGGAGAGAGAAGGAGAGAGGAGAGACAAAAGGATTGCATTGTTAATGGGAAGAGCAAAGAAAAGAATAGAAGAGAGATGAATAGAGAAGAGGGAGAGACAAAACAAGGCGCAGAGAAAATGGCACTCACTCTTTATCTATCCTCTCTTCCTTATCTCTCCCTGCCATCTTTCTTTTCGAAATAAGAGAACAAAAAGGAAGAACTATGAGAAGGAGAAGGGTAAGGAAAGGAACAGAAGAGATAGGCCGAGAGGAGGGGTATGATGAAGTATGGACCGGTCCACGCGCCAGGAGTCACCCTCTGCTTACCCTTCCACTGCCTTATCATACAAGTTCCTTTCTTGTGGTTTATCAGTCAGAAGGAAACAGAAGGAGAGAAGGGAAAGGGAAGTGAGAGGAGATAGCAAGGATGCCATTTTTCTGGAAGCGCAACTGTACCGGAATGTGGCCACAACAAGCAGGCCAGGGAGGCTCAGGCGGGGCAAGTCTCTCCCTAATTAGAAAAAATCAACCTTGCTATTCACAGGTAGGCGCCCTTCTTCCTCTTCAGGAAATCGCCTTTCCCTTATTTTGTTATTTTGCTTTTTGAAGCGAATAAGAAAAACAACAAAAAAGAAGAGAGGACAGGGAATGACTAGGTAAAGAGAGGAGCTTTTCAATTTCCTCCCTATCTCTTATGTTACTTTTCCTTCTTGGGCGGGTGTCCTTTTTTCTTCCTTGAAGATGCAGAAAACTATCAAAAAGGACACCCGTTCCATCGCCCATATACTTTTCAATTCCCTTCCTTATCTCCTATGCTCTTTTCCTTATTCATTGCAACAGGAGAAGACAGGAAAAGGGCCTCCCTTCCCCTCTTGTTCTTCCTTTCTTGTGTTTTTGTCATT